AGAAAATTCCGAGACATGCATATCTGTTCGCTTGAGTTCAAAACAATGCCATGACATGCTTGAGAACAAAACAAAATTGAACGGTACAAAATTGAACAGTACAATGATTCCCGTCGTATTTTTTTGTCCACTGCTCATGCATTTCAATGCAAAGATCACATATTTTTTTGTGCCATAAATCACATAGATCCACTGCATCGTCAACAAACACTGACATTGTCACAATGTAATTCTCGAGATCTCACAGACACTTTTACACAAAAAAGCTTTTACACACAGACGGTTTTACACACAGACGCTTCTACACGCAGACACTTTTACACGCAGATGCGTTTTACACACGCACACACACTTTCACACACAGAGGCTTTTACACACAGAAACTTTTACACACAGACCCTTTTACACACAGACCCTTTTACACACAGACCCTTTTACACACAACACTTTCACACACAGATGCTTTTACACACAGAAGCTTTTACACACAGAGGCTTTTACACACAGAAGCTTTTACACACAGAGGCTTTTACACACAGAAGCTTTTACACACAGGCGCTTTTACACACAGACGCTTTTACACACAGACGCTTTTACACACAGATGATTTTACACACAGACACTTTTACACACAGACGCTTTTACACACAGACCCTTTTACACACAGACGCTTTCACACACAGACACTTTTTCACACAGACACTTTTACACACAACACTTTCACACACAGAGGCTTTTACACACAGAAGCTTTTACACACAGAGACTTTTACACACAGACGCTTTTACACACAAACGCTTTTACACACAGACGCTTTTACACACAGAAGCTTTTACACACAGACTCCTTTACACACAGACGCTTTTACACACAGACGCTTTTACACACAGAAGCTTTTACACACAGACTCTTTTACACACAGACGCTTTTACACACAGACGCTTTTACACACAGAAGCTTTTACACACAGACTCCTTTAAACACAGACGCTTTTACACACAGAAGCTTTTACACACAGACGCTTTTACACACAGACGCTTTTACACACAGACGCTTTTACACACAGACGCTTTTACACACAGACGCTTTTACACACAGACGCTTTTACACGCAGAAGCTTTTACACACAAACACTTTTACACACAGACGCTTTACACACAGACGCTTTTGCACACAGACGCTTTTACACACAGACGCTTTACACACAGACCCTTTTACACACAGACGCTTTACACACAGACCCTTTTACATACAGACTCTTTTACACACAGACGCTTTTACACACAGATGCTTTTGCACACAGAGACTTTTACACACAGGCGCTTTTACACACAGACGCTTTTACACACAGACGCTTTTACACACAGACGCTTTTACACACAGACGCTTTTACACACAGACGCTTTTACACACAGAAGCTTTTACACGCAGACGCTTTTACACACAGACCCTTTTACACACAGACGCTGTTACACACAGACGCTGTTACACACAGACGCTTTTTACACGCAGGCGCTTTTACACACAGAAGCTTTTACACACAGACGCTTTTACACACAGACCCTTTTACACACAGACGCTTTTACACACAGACGCTTTTTACACGCAGGCGCTTTTACACACAGACGCTTTTACACACAGACGCTTTTACACACAGACCCTTTTACACACAGACGCTTTTACACACAACCGCTTTTACACAGACGAAAGCGTTACGATTGACCAAGTAAAATCGCAATTTTTCCTCAGTTTTTGACGTCCAACGTCCATTTCGTGCGTAAGGGTTGCGATTGACAACTCACAGTCGCAATTTTTCTTCAGTTTTTGACGTCCAACGTCCATTTCGTGCGTAAGGGTTGCGCGGGACACTTCAAAGTCGCAATTTTTCCTCAGTTTTTAACGTCCAACGTCCATTTCGTGCGTAAGGGTTGCGATTGACAACTCAAAGTCGCAATTTTTCCTCAGTTTTTGACGTCCAACGTCCATTTCGTGCGAAAGGGTTGCGCGCGACACCTCAAAGTTGCAATTTTTCCTCAGTTTTTGACGTCCAACGTCCATTTCGTGCGAAAGGGTTGCGCGCGACCAATAAAAGTTGCAATTTTTCCTCAGTTTTTGGCGTCCAACGTCCATTTCGTGCGAAAGGGTTGCCGGCGACGCTTCAAAATCGCAATTTTTCCTAGGTTTTGGACGTCCAACGTCCATTTCGTGCGAAAGGGTTGCGTTTCGTGGCGCTCCGGCGGCACCGCCCCCGCCTTAAGAGAGAATAGAAGAAGAGCGAGAAGAGATCTGCAGATGTGAAGGTGTGAAGATCTAGCTCTGCAGGTGTGAGGGTGTGAAGATCTAGATCTGCAGGTGTGCGGGTGTGATGATGTAGATCTGCAGATGTGAGGGTGTGAAGATGTAGATCTGCAGATGTGAGGATGTGATGATGTAGATCTGCAGATGTGAGGGTGTGAAGATCTAGATCTGCAGATGTGAAGGTGTGAAGATCTAGATCGGCAGATGTGAGGGTGTGAAGATGTAGATCTGCGGATGTGAAGGTGTGAAGATCTAGATCTGCAGGTGTGAGGGTGTGAAGATCTAGATCTGCAGGTGTGAGGGTGAAGATCTAGATCTGCAGATGTGAGGATGTGAAGATCTAGATCTGCAGGTGTGAAGGTGTGAAGATGTAGATCAGCAGATGTGAAGGTGTGAAGATGTAGATCGGCAGATGTGAGAGTGTCAAGATCTAGATCTGCAGGTGTGAAGGTGTGAATATCTAGATCTGCAGATGTGAGGGTGTGAAGATCTAGATCAGCAGATGTGAAGGTGTGAAGATGTAGATCGGCAGATGTGAGAGTGTGAAGATCTAGATCTGCAGGTGTGAAGGTGTGAAGATCTAGTATAACGGCTGCTTTTTTACGAAGAACCCTTCGCAGGCGCTCTCGGGAAAAACTAGCACAAATACACCGGTGTTGCGTGGGTGCTGCTTGGATACAATATAGTTTGGAATATACACCTTAAATGGATTTGCACGGGGGTTCCGAAGCATCTTCTTCGCAAACATCACCTTTTGCTTCTGAGAGTGAGCCACTATGTGATGTTTAAGCACCCCAAAATCGGGGAAGGACCCCGATTGTAGGTGGTCATTGAATTGCCATCTTCTGCTTGGGGCATTGGTATTAAATACCTCTCCGTGCCACCCTTATGAATTGTGCAGCACATAACACCCGGGGCTGATGGGTACCTAATATTAGGGGGCTGGGAACACATATGCATGTATATATATATACCCATATGTACCCCATATTTTCTGGATCGCGATGCATATTATAGCATTGCATATTACATGCATATGCTAATGTATGTGTATGTAAATATATATATATGTATGTGTGCGTTTGTGTGTGTGTGCGCATGTGTGTTAGTTAGCTAGAGGAAATACATACATACATGCATATATATAATATATATATAATTTATATATATATAATAAATAATATATATATATATAATACATATATATATATATAATACATATATATATATAATACATATATATCTATATAATACATATATATATAATACATATATATATATATAATACATATATATATAATATATATAATACATATATATATATAATACATATATATATAATACATATATAATACATATATATATAATACATATATAATACATATATATATAATACATATATATCTATATAATACATATATATATATAAAATACATATATATATATATAATACATATATATAATACATATATAATACATATAGATAATACATATATAATACATATATATATAAATAATACATATATATATAATACATATATATATATATATAATACATATATATATAATACATATATATATATAATACATATATCTATAAAAATACATATATATATATAATACATATGTATAATACATATATATAATACATATATATAATACATATTTATATAATACATATATATATATACAATACATATATATATATTATAATGATGTATATTATATATATAACTTATAACTTTATAATATCATACTATCACGTGTACGCCCATCCAATCATCTAATTATCTTCTTGTTGGTTCTTCCAGCTGTTCCGCGCCTGAATAGCTGCGATCTTCACAGCTTCGCACGCATCGAAAACCGTCCCAACCGCGCGCCCGCGAAGCACGACGCACGGCTGGGCCAGTCACGGTGATTCTGTCGAGCCAAATTTGTTGCGCCGCAAGGTTTGTCCTTTCCTAAAATGAGGATATTCTGGGGATATGTAAAGTTCCTGCAAGTTTATTCATCTTGTGAAACTAAAGCCGTGCTTCATTTTGAGAGCAAGATATAGCTGGGGTATGTACTAATTAGTAAGAAATGATAAATACTAATATGATTTGGGGCTGTGTCTGAGCATGGGGGGTACCCAGCATGGCCACGTTCATTGGGAAAATGATGATCAACATTGGTCAACCATCTTGAAGAGCTCCACGTTGGGTTCCAGATTGGATGGCGTCAGAAGCTTCAGGCCTGAAGACAACTCCATTCTCTTGAAAATGTGTCTAGGGGATGTACTTGGTGCCTCATCTCAGTTAATCAGTGGGTATAAGTGTGTTCTAACCCCACTTGCAACTGGACTAACCCTACTTATCCCACCTATGTAACCTACATGACATATAGCGTACATTAACCCACTGACGAACTGCTATGAACCAGAAAGTATGATACCCAAACAATTTTCATGTTGACAACTAAAATCAGTTGTCCTCTGACATTTTGGCACTTACTGCCATGACCAACAAGTGGAACAATGATTACAGGCAGGACCCTGCAGTACAGTTTCGCAGCTGGGTACCAGGTTCCTCACCAATGGATCTGGCTTTGGCTTGGCAAGTTAGATTAATTAAGTACACCTTGTTCTCTAAGATGTAGTTATGCCTCCATGTGACCAACTACGTATGCTATGCTTCGCTGGTTTTGCCTGCATATGCCTTCATCTTCTTTTGATGTTTTGCGATGTTTTGCCACTGGGCTGCCTTTTCTCAGGTGCTCTGGGGTATGAATGGCCATCAAATGCCATCAGTCATCAGAATCACAACGTCTGGACGGCCAACTGTCAAGATCTCCGGAACCCAGGAAGTGGATGGAAAGAAATCTTCATCATTGGCATTCAAAACACTGCACGTTGCACCAGTCGATGTGGTCCCCGTCGATTCTCCATCTGAAACTGCTTGTCTGGCCCTGGCCGCCTGACACCGACATCTAGCAGGAAACAAATCTTCCATGCGGGCTGAAGCTGCCGCTTTGGAGCTGCGCGTTCAACTATGCAGAATGTAACCAGAAGCCCTGCGAATTGTCATGTCATACAAGGTGCCATGCTGATGAGGTTGGTTCTGCCCACAGCCGCACCACTTCTCTTGATCAAAGCTGGTTCCACAGGCAGAGATGCAGTCCTGCGGGCTTGAGGACGTTAAAATGCCAAGATCAAGCGTCTTTACTGTGCAAGTTGGTACATGAAGGGCTTGAGAAAACGTTGGTTACAACCAAACGAGCATCCAAAATCATCCTGGATATTCCAATTTTTAGTTAGGATTTTCAATTGACATCTTCAGTTTCTACTCCAGGATGAGCCGTTGCTTTAAATTTTCCGAGAATCTTCCGATTCATGTCCTCATTGTCTTCAACGAAACGTTCGTTCACCAGACGCTCCGGTGCTGCAAACATCAACACCGTGGCTGGTTCCCATTCGCGTGCGAAGGCCACTGATAGGATCGACCTGTCAGGATTCACAATTCACCACGAAAATATGGGATCCCGGGGATACACCAGGATAGTTAATGATGGTTTATGGTAAATTAATGGTGACTATGATTACCAGGATTCATGATCTATCAAAAATAGCTAGAAGAAAATTATAGTTCATCGCTAGATTCATCACTATGTAATCCCGTTCCCGTTCATATTAAACACCCCCAGTCTATGGTCCCAAATATGTGTTTTGATATGTTTTTATCCTCTACGTCCACCATGGTTTATGGGGTGTGTGTCATGATTAGCAACGGGAAATAGAAATGGGTGTATAAACCAACCATATCTAAGAACGTGGATATCATAGGGATATATACATGGCACATGGATATGATATAGTGGTCTAATATTCCCTAGGCATCCACTTGCCTCTGCGATAGGTAGGCAGGGTGAACTTGTGGTGTGATTTTGGGGTAAGTTACCTATCTGGGCCAAACAGGGATGATCATCTGTGGTTAATCAAGGGTGTTATAACCAATCCCAATGGAAATTCAACCAACCAAAATCACTAGAAATTCAACAAAAACCGGGTATCAGCACCATTACCATATATCAAATTAAATATAAGGGGCCTTTCAGTTATCCCTTCCCGGCAGTGAGTCCATGCGTCCAAATGGGAACCCAAAATAAATACATCGAATGCTAGACCAGGGTTTCGGGGACTGTACTGGATTACACTTAGTTACCTCCCCTTAAGTCTGTGATACTGCGGTTTATTTACTAAAAATTTGATAAAATTGGGGCATCCCTTTTCACCTCTTGTTTTCCCAACAAAAAAATCCAAGACTCAGAGGGAAAGGGACATCCAACACCAGGTACCAGGTACACTATACGTACCATTAAAATCACCAGAGTGGATAAACGCGAGACATCTCAAAACATCTGATATAACAGGTGTACAATTATAGTTTAAAATGCTAGAAACATTTCAAGGTGACTTTGACATCCCTGAAACTGAATTAAAAATAGGACATCTACCAGCCCGGGAGACCGGGGATTGTTGGTTGGTAGTTTCTGCCCTGCATCTGTTTCAAAAACCAGCGGTAGTTGGTGATCAACATTCCCGGAATTGATTTGCCAAAAAATAATGACCTGAAATCCCAGTAAAAAGTGTTGCAAACCCATGGTTTCCTGCAGGTTGTCTGTTGCAATTTCAACGATGTTTCAATTTCAGTCAACATGATAACTGTCGACCCTCCTATACGCCTATACACATGCACATGCATGTACATATTCATTCACATCTACATGGAAATTGACATATACGAATAAATATATATATATATGTGCTTCATTCAACCGTGCATCAAAAGTTCAATCATGGCTCACTAACTGCAGACATCCAAGAACGCCGTGGAAAAATATCTCTATTTCACCACCTGCCAGGTGAGGGTTTCTAGATTTTATCACAGACTTTCCCGCCTCTTCTCCTCTTCTCCTCCTGGTCCTCAACGGCGAGCGCCGCATTGCAGTGGGCACTGCCGGACCTCAATCGCGAGCTCCAGATCTCAGTGGGCACTGCCGGGCTTCAACCACGAGCGCCATTAGCTTGTGTTTTGAACGCTTGCTTTCCGGACCGCTGCCTGCCTTTCGAGATCGCCATGGCTGCGCTTAGGTTGCGTTTTGAATGCTTGATTTCTGGACCACCGCTGCATGTCTTTCCAGGCTGCAATGGCTTTGTGCAGCTTGCGTTTTGAATGCTTGCTTTCCGGACCGCTGCATGCCTTTCCGGACCGCAATGGCTACGTTTAGCTTGCGTTTTGAATGCTTGCTGTCCGGACAGCTGCATGTCTTTCCCGGCCGCAATGGATGTTTTGGATGCTTGCTGTTAGTCTTCTGTGCCGCTGCATGTTTACTGGCCAGCAATAATGGCTGGAATTAGGATGCGTCTAAAATGCTTGGTTTTCAAAACAGCTGCATGTCCTGCCAGACCGCAGTGCCTGCGAATAGTTTGCATGTTGATTGCTTGCTTTCCGGACCGCTGCGTGCTCGCCCTTGCGGCCCTTTTGCACGGACCTTGTGCTTTCACATCTCTATTTCAAGATTATTTTGCATTGGGCCGTTCCAATTAAAACGGGAAAGGCGAAGTTTATGAACGACCCACATATACCCAATATATACTTGTACTTCCAGATGGTATGTCAGAAACTATGTCAGAATAATGTGTCAGGGTGGGGATCGCTCGATTTTTTTTTATATCCCCTATGGTAATTCAAAAGTTTGCTATGGAAAACCACGGTATTTTCCACAGGTAAATCATCGAACTAAATGGGCCATCTATACCATAGCTACAATAAAATTACCAGGAGGGTAAGAACCCAATATAGGTGGCACTCCCCAGGAATCCCAAGTAGGTTATATCTCTGGTTGTAAGTGGGAGTAGAAGCGGGTTAATCCACTTACACCTGGGGTTACAATCTACTTGCAAAATCGGTCTAGGTACATAGGATGAACCAACCACCAAGTATAACCCATGTTTTTCAAGCAATTTTCTCCTTGGCACATGGGCCTGCCTGGGGCTACAAACTGGCTCACCGCAGGAGACCACCTCGCAGAAAAGGATGTTTTGCAACAACAAATTGAGGATTCACCAACACATTGAGGGCCAAATAGGGACATAGTGATATAATGATATAATTATATAATGATATAATCATACAATGATATAATTATATACTGATATAATCATTTAATGATATAATCATTTAATGATATAGTCATACAATGATATAATCATTAAAAAATGTACGATGATATCTTGATGGGGATAGAATTAGATAACGGCATACAATGTGGTAAATGAATCCGGTAATATGGCGATAGCCACAGCCAAAAAAATGTTAATATGTTGGTATAAGGTATGTTTTTTGGATAACATATCGTAAGAGATTAAGAACAATGTGGATATAGAACTGGAATGAACTGGGCATAGTGGGGATGTAACAATAACCGTATAGTGCGGATATTCTGGGGTAAATGATTCTGTTAATTATATATATATAGCAATAACTATTGCGCAGTTACTGCCGGGGACTGTACCTGGAAATGAACCAGCAATAATTGCATTAATGATAAAGATTATTGATATCCAATAAATATGGAAGATGGGTAGCATGCAAAAACAAATTGCAGAGACGGAGGAAGCACTATCGTCGCCATGGTATGTTACAAATACATAGTATAACTTTGAAAATGTTTCTCCTATCCACATGTGTACATGTTTCTATATTTACTTGAAAAAGAAATGGGAATATTAACCAGCAGTATGAACCCATGCTATTTCATTTGACAAGTCCTTAGCTTGATCTGAAACAAGCTTGATGGCTTCACACTTGTACATTAATTAATCGAGATAGCTATGAATGATGAAGACTGGGGGCCATCACTACGTCACCCAGCCTAACCAAATTATGGTGCATTGTCCCAACCTGAGACATTTCCATAACATCATCCATCCAGTTGTTATGGGTCATGAGTCATGACTGCATGTGGAACATACATAAACTCAGGATATATGCACATGATGATTCAAGTATCTTCAAACATGCTCACACACTAGAAACAAAAATGACCATTATTTTGCCTGGCTAACCTCTCAAACTTTGGGTCAAATAGGAACCACATGCGAGCTGGCAATGCATGGTCTCTTTGCATGTCTGTAGTTTCCTGCCTAAATAAACCCTCCAAGTATCCCATGAAATCATACCAGTAGTACCGCGCAAGGCGGTGGCGGAAGTTTCAAAGATAGGATACTGTAGGAGAGGTGAGTTGTTGTGATGAATGAATGGCAGAGCGAACCGACTGATGGATCGAAAGGCGGCTGAGGCTCTAAATCTGTCTCTCTCTCTCTCTCTCTCTCGCTCTCTCTCTAACTCTCTCCGTCACCTTCTCTCTGTCTCTCCATCTCTCCCTCTGTCTATCTATCTGTCTATCTATTTGTAGCGTGATATAGTTGCAGTTGTAGTTGTAGCTGCAGTTGTAGTTTAGTTGTGGTTGCAGTGTAGTGAAATGCCGTGGAGTATAGTGTAATTAGTACAGTGTAGTTCAGATCCTCTTCAAACGTCCCGCGCCCGCCATCATTTTTGCAAGGGCTAGGAAACCCTTACGTTTTGACTCACTTTGCGCCTGCCACACAAACGTCCTTTAAAAGTAGACCGAACATGATGTGCTTTGCACATGTTGACTTCGAAATGTGCTTCGCACCACAACAGCGTGACATCTCAACTTCCAAAAGCGGTCCCAACATGGTGTGCTTTTCACATTTTGACTTCGAAATGTGCTTCGTGCCACTACGGCGCGCACTTTTTGAACATCACAACTTCCAAAAGTGTTCCGAACCTGATGTGATTTTGATTTCCACATGTGAGTCGTGCCACAGCGGCGTGCGCTGTTTCAACGTCTCAACTTCTATGGTTTTTTTGGCGGTTTGACTTCCGAACGCGCTTCGCGCCACAGGGGCGTGCACTTTTTTAGTATCTCAACTTCCAAAAGTTGTCCAAACCTGTGGTTCTTTTTATATGTTGACGTCCAAATGTACTTCGCGCCACAACGCCATGCACTTTTTCGACATCTCAACTTCCAAAAGTGCTCCGACGCTGAGGCGCCATGTTTGTAAATGTTTTTAACATGTTCTTTGGGCCACAACGCCGTGCACTTTTTGATCATATCAGCTTCCAAAAGCGCTCTGAGAATGCTATAGCCACAACGGTGTGCACTTTTTCGACATCCCCACTGACAAAAATTCCTCCGGAGGTGAGGTGCTTTTAGCTTTTTGACTTCCAAATCTGCTTCGCGCCAAAACGGCGTGCAATTTTTGAGCTCTCATCCTTCGCGCCTGCCGCTTTAGCGAGCCTACTTTTCGACCCTCCTGGAACACAAACATTTGCAAAACACGGCGTTTCGCGACTTTTCTGCCTTTTCGCGCACCTGCATCTTCTTTCTTCTTCCTTTCCCTTCTCTGACTCCACCTTTGCTGTTTCATCTGTCCATATTGTCGAAAGTTCGACTTCTGAACTTCCTTCGATAAAATTGACAAGAATCTGGCAACTTTGAAATATTGGCTTTGAATTTGATAGTCTTGAACGCGGCAAAAGGCTTGGTAAGTGCCACCGAAATAGCACGAAGCAACAGGATCAGCCAGCCAAGCAGCTGAGAGAACGAAACTTCGAGTCCCTTTTCGTACGACGCAGCTCACCTGCTCAAGAAGTCGGGCAAGCCAGGGCTGCTGGAGGATGGGACGTCCAGCACTGATTCAATTGAAAGGGGAAAAAAAATGATGTTTTTCATTTGACCTCATTAGAAAAGTGTAATACATTAGAAATTTTATATACAACAATTAATATTGATCTGTTTATACAGGATGGGGCCCCCCAGTTATAAGTGGGTTTATAAACCGTCATAACCCCTATTAACTATAGTTATATCTACCATAAAGCCACTTATAAGGCAACTTAGCTATCTTCGGGGCCCCATCCTGTAATCATCCCATATATTGCTAAATATGGAAATGCATATCTCGTTGCCACTCTCCAACTTAGCAACTACCAATCTACATCCATCCTCCTGGCCGTGGCCCACGGCCACGGCCGTGTGGCCTTCCTCGACGTCACTAGCCGCAGCAGCTCGCTGAGCGACAGCGGCGGTCGTCGATTAAGATGTCTTCGACCGCGGCAAATGAGGGACGAGGCGCCGGCCACATCTCCTGGACGGAAAAGCGTTGGTTTTTAATGTTAATATGGATATTTAACGGGGTTCAATGGGATTAATACCGGTTAATAATTATGATTGGCGTCGCCCTCTATCTGTGTCAGGGTGCTGGAGCTGGGAGCTATATCACATATCGACAATGGGGAACTATAGACCAAAATTCAACCCTCACAATCATCCTGTTGAATGTTACTTTTGTGTAGGTATGTCGCCTAGTATTCACATCCTCAGAGACCTATCCATGGATCTACCATAGTCATGATCGAAATGCTTTGGCAGCCCCGAGAAAACGTAAGTGGTACCCTAATGCTAGCATTGCACGCATACCTGCTGCAGGCACCGGGTGCTGTTCATGAACCTTGTTTTGATCAAGGCCTACGCCTTCAAGATCTAGGCATCCATTTCGTGCATCATGACAAGCTATCATTATCAAGATTCACTGAATTTCACACTGTGCTGTGTTTGATGGTGTTCTTTCTCGTCTCTACAAAGCTGCTGGGCTGATAGATGGCCCAGCATTGTCCAACAACCGTTCAAGGCTACTTCTGAGGTTTTTTTTAAGGTTTAACCTTCGAATAAATACATAGGAACCGTTTGCAAACGTAGGCTTAGATTTAGTCGGGAACGCTGACTAAACACAAGAAAGTTTTTACATAGTCAGGAACGGTTCGGGACGTTTCCTGACTAAATACAAAACGACCTGACCGTTTTGAATGGTTTCTGGCTATGTATACCTAAGTCTTATAAATGGTCAGGAGCTGATCCTGATTATATAATGACGGGACTATTTGGGACTATTTAGGGACAAATTATATATATATATACTCTTGCCCAGGGGAACCGAAACCGCTAAAAAGGCAGGTACATCGGAAAAAGACGGAGTTTTACCCAAGAACACAGGTTTTTTGAATTTCCCAATTTTCCATTAGTGCACTTTCCCATAAAGTGTTTTTTTGATGTCAAAAATCAACCATGTAGTCATCAGCATGCTGCCAGTGTCTTGTGCCGTGCCTGGCTAGAGACTTCGTTGGGAAACTATTCCTACATTTCTCAAGTGCATGCCATACAACTTTCCTTCGACAAAAATGCTCCGACAAACAATGTCAATTTTTGCATACCAGGAGCATACACAACAACTTGAATTGTGTATTTGCAAAAAACATTTCACGATGAGCCAGCGACCCGTTTTCTCATGAAATTTGTCCGCGCAAAGACCATCAGTGGGCCTAAAAGCCCCATTATGGCAGCCTACGGGCCAGAGCCCAAAAACCCATATTTTTTACGGGTTCCCACGGGTTAATTATGGGTTAATTACGGGTTTTTGAAAGCCGGGGTTTTATTCAAAATTCGAAAATACGGGGTTAGTACGGGGTAAATACGGGATAAGTACGGGAAAATGTTGGGGTCCCCATGTTTTCACCATCCCAGGGGCATAGAAATTAACAAATTTTGAACAAATCGCACACTGGATGTCCAAATTGTCATCTCCCAGTTTCGAAACAAAAAGGGTTGAATAGCAATAAACGACTGCATTTTCCCACTCGAAGATCCAAAATTGGAATCCGCATTGGTTTTCAAGCTCTAATAGCAGCCGCTTTCTGCGCAAACCCTGATCCCTGACCCTGCCCTTTTATTGATATCAGCTGGCATGGGTTGGTTACTTGTTCGTCTTGATCTTTGATGTTCACTTCATTTCATCGTCAGTGGCTGTGTCTGCAAACTAAGCAAATCAATATATGACCTCATACGCTTGGCAAGGCAAGTGCGCACACAAAATGAAGGTTTATTGGAAAAAGACATGTTTTTTACACGGGAACCGTTGTTTTGATAAAAAGTACGTAAAAGCCGGTACTTTCAAAATGGACCGACCATTTCAGAGGTTTTGGAAGTTCTAGGTATATATAGTCAGGAACGGTTGCTGACTAAAAATCATCACGATGTATATACAGTCAGGAAAGGTTCCTGACTAAATATCACCACGGTTTCTATATAGCCAGGAACGGTTCTGAATGGTTCTTGAGAACGTACTTTTATGTAGCCCGGAACGGTTTCTGGCAATATACGAAATCAATGTTCGTTTGCAGTCAGGAAAAACTTTTTCACTATCTAAAAAACTGACTAACCAGCCTTTCGGTACCCCAAAGCAAGTCCGAGCATTTGATAACATTGCTGGAAGACTCCAAGCAGGAACCGTCTCAATCGGTGTATAATAATTCAGCAGCCTTAAAAGGTCCCAAAAAGCTCCGGGTCCAAGACTTAAGACGAGCACACGTGCACCGTTGGAACTATTTGGCGCTAAACGTCGGAACTATACATTAAATATGCGGAACTATATTCAAAAAAAGTCGAAACCAGTTGATGGGGCAACTCACGTAATTGTCAAGGCAAAATGCAGCGGCTGCCTTCCCCATGAAAGAAACTTGCTTATAGCGCACGACTCTTTTGGAGATTTTCAAGGTGCTGCTCTTTGCGCCTGGCCTCCCAACAACAACCTGAAGGAAAATGCATGTTTTTTTTGGGTGGCATCTTTCATTTCATAGATCACCTCTGATCTTCCAATGCGACATCATGAAGCCCATCCACTAGTCCAACCATGTCCAACCCAACGTGGGCTAAATTAATCACCTTCTGTGTGCAGGGGGATGCTCTGCTACTTACACGTTCAACCAGGACCAGGACACTGGTCGGAAAGTATTCCTCGAGCATTCTGGGCGAAAACCCTTCGAAGATCCCTTGGGGACAAATGGCGCATCCGCGCTTGAATGCTCTTCCCAAAACCGAAAGCGCTATCAGTACGCAAATGGTCTCATATAGCATTGCCAGCTTGGCTTTTGTTCAGCCGCGCACTCCGGTCGCTCTTTTGGGGATCCAAAATATGATTTGAGCATGACGGGGCTGTCATGACTCAGCGGAAAGATTGCCACAGCTCGCTTTTGAACGGCTCTTTTCTCTAAACTGTGGCGGCGCAGGAACCCAAGAAAGAAACGCAACAAAACCCAAAGTCTTGGGTTCAATTCTTATTGGAGCCTTTTTTTGCGGTTAGTGGTACGTTCCTGTTTTGCTTCATGCCAGAATGGGGCGGCTCAACATAATCCTGCAGTTCTTTCCATGTTGGGACTTGTGTGCCGGCGCTCTGAATAACTTACAACATGGTTTAAGGGAACGAACGCATGAGTTCTTCCAACATGTCCGGTTTTTCGTATGGTTTTGGTTCGCAAATGTTCTTGATATTGTGAGAGGGGGGCCCGCAGGAACGCTTCTGGCTGGAGACACGCAGGGGGCTTCATATCTGAGTAATGCACTAATGGACGATTAGTGTCGCAATGCTGCACTACTGGTGATTAGCTTGTTTAGAATTGGTCTTCTGTAGCAAGTTACGATGACGGGTATTGATGGGAGCAGCTCTAATATAGCTCTAATGTAAAACAAACATCAACTCAACTGATCCTTTGCCCATAGGGGGGGCTAGTAGCATCCAGCAATGAACATCATTGCATTCATGAATACCCCCATAGAATTTAGAAATAGATCCCACAAATTTATACATTATATCGTCCCTAGAAGCTTTATAAATGTATATATAGTTCCTTATGCTTTACAGAAAAGCCATTTGAAGAGGGCAACGCCTACTCACTCTAAATTAATAATGATTAAGAATGGTTAATCATGATTAGCATTGATGTTCAATTGCCATATGGAAAGACTGATAATTGGGATTCAACAACTTGATTGAAAGAGAGAAAAGTTGAGACAAACTGATTTAACCCCACAGCTGATAGGGTAGGTCGCATTAATCTTTAAATTTCAAGGTCCGAAGAAAGATAGACCAATGTTGAATTAACAATGTTGGAAATGCCTTGGGCGGAACTGCTGTGATCCAGCACAACTTTTAACATCGTTTAACTCTTGTCTTGTTTGTTTTGCATTGGCCAGACCTGTGAAGTTTCATGAAGTTTCATTCCCTTTCACCGGCCCTGGCCTTCCAAGTGCACTTCCAGTAAACCCAGATCCAAAGAGTGCTCATCGACCGAAGTGGTGCCGTCCAGATTAGAGTCCCCTGTCACCAAGACCACCTCCTTTGAAGGGGCACCATTGGCACAACGGCATGCCCACGTGGCTGCCTACAGAAATTTGGTAACTATGCAATTCCAAAATATTCTTAGTCGTATCAAAATGTATTTAAGCCATCTACTTGGAGAGCGCCATGGGGATCATACCCCGCATTTCAGCTGGATCAAAAGTCATCTGGTTGGAGCTTTCAACTCCCAAGCGTGCATCACCCATGCACAAACCATCACCAACATATATGTACATATATATATATATATATATATGTGTATGTGTGTATCTATGTGTATGTATATATACATATCCACATACATGTCGCAACATACGTTTGACCAGAATACATCAAACACAGTTTCAACAAAAAAGGGTACCTCCCCTAGGCTTCAAAACAATAACTACCAAAAAACTAAAAGCCACAACACCATAATTGACAACTTGGGTTTGTCTGAAAATAGGGCGCCCCACAAATCCACTGATCAGTCATCATGTTCCTCATTTAGATAGCCATTGGCATCCTATGACCCACACCCATCCCCCACTTAAAAAGGCAATGGAGTTTCTTAACTAACTACTTAGCACATCTTAGCACATGGATTGAAATTTGTGATAGTTTGCGGATAACAATCCACAGAAACGAAGCAATTATCTAATCCCATGGCCCATCTAAGCAGCCCTCCCCAGTCCTCAGGTTTCCGGCTTTGCGCCGCCGCCAGTCGCAAGGTGAGCTCCAGAATCTCCTCCGACACCGGCGGCAGCGACACGAACAGCACGCAGCGCGGGGCCCACAGCGGCCCCGGCGCCGGGCAACGGGCACCGTGGCCAGGGGCCAGGTGGCTGCGCAGCACCTTCCAAGTGATGCCCTTGAGGTGGAGATTCTGCACCAAGAGGTTGGCAGCGCACAGGCGATGTGGATCAGTTTGACCTTCCGACTGAGCCAAGGGATCTAAGATTCTGAGATCGAGGAAGCCACGTTTGAAGAGGAATCCTGACTGCATGAGGGGAAGCAAGGTCGTTGTTGCTTGGCCGGCCACTGCGTGACCTGACCATAAGTGAAGCCCCTGCAGTAGCTGCGTATAGGGCAGGCGAGTTCCTCGGGCTTGCAACGATGCTGAGAAAGATATAGTGAGATGTAGTGCATGTTCAGCCCATCTCCGAACTACCATTTCTTGTTTCCACTGCAACCTGCAATGCAACCATAATAACGCAACATTCGCAAACCTCTATCTGGGTTTGTCTAAAAGAAGAGGTACCCAATATCTCCAAAATCCTCATAATATCTCATAATCCCCTGGCTTATCCTATATTTATATACATATATATATATGATTATATATGTATATTAATCCCTTCCTCCTAATACTAAACCCCCCCCCTAATACAAAACACGGCAGGTAGTTTTTAGTATTAGGGGGGTATTTATTATTAGGAAACCAAATCGAAGTCATGTTAATTAATTAATTAAATTTCCTTATATAACGCAATTAAAATATTGCCAAAAATGGCAGTTCGAAGCTTACCCCTAATACTAAATTAAAACCCTTAATACTAAAAACTATTTTTTCCGATCTCAAAATCAATTAAATTTCCTTATATAACGCAATTAAAATATTGCCAAAAATGGCAGTTCGAAGCTTACCCCTAATACTAAATTAAAACCCTTAATACTAAAAACTATTTTTTCCGATCTCAAAATCAATTAAATTTCCTTATATAACGCAATTAAAATATTGCCAAAAATGGCAGTTCGAAGCTTACCCCTAATACTAAATTAAAACCCTTAATACTAAAAACTAGCCCCCCTAATACTAAACACCCCGGGATGAATTAGTTTTTAGTATTAGGGGGGAGAACCCACAAATGGTAGGTTGATTTTTGAATTGTTTTTTAAAGGGGATCAATTAAAAGTCAAATTGGCCAAACTGAAATTTTCGGAAATTGGAGATGGATGCCTGTTTTTAGTATTAGGGGGACGTTTAGTATTAGGAGGAAGGGATTATCGTATATTTATCCAATAGTTTTGCCCCATGTGTACCATGGATCGGACAATGGTATCCCCTGCCAAGGATCGGACACCCACTTCCCCCAGCAAAATGATCGTATCATCGCGACACTCGCGGCCCAAGAGCTCCATGAGACTCGGCTCCTCGACGACAGCGGGTCACCCCGACAAAAAGTGGATGCTTTAAGAGGAAAACTGACTGTTCCAAATAGAACATATGCAACGCTGATCAGAATCTCAGATTTCGGCTCTCCAACTGTTATCCAGTTATCCACATCATTTCAATCTGTTAATTGAAAAGTATTGAAAGGACAAGTGGGATAAGAGCTGCCATCGATCCGAGTACCACACATGACCGACCAAATTCCGCACGGAGGGTGCAGAAATCGGTAAACTACGCCTGGCAACCTGTTGACACTGTGCCAAGCCAAATTATCTGGCCCTGGCTGTTTGATATTGGTTGATATATGGGTGGCCAATGGTGGCCATATGTCGAAAGTGGATGAAAGTGTGAGAAAAGTGTGAGGAATATCCCTTGCCCTCCAACAATTTGACCTGGCGAAGGAAAATCGCCCGTTTGTAGATGTTTCTTGGGATGTTCCATGATATTTAAAGCACCAAAGGATAACATTCACCAACCAGATCATTGTTGGTTGTATACCCATTTTATCCCCATGTTAGATGGGGATCATACCTATATAAGTTAGTTGGTTAAATGCCAGCTCATTTCATGTTTCGCAAAGTACCCAAATCATCCCATGCCCCAAGATCCCCATGCCCCATGCCTGACACAGCACACGCACTCGATGCCAGTGAGCCATCGGACCAGAAACACAGCGTCCTTTGAGGAAAAGATATACCCTGAGGCCAAGTCAATGGCCCGGAACTTGGGGCCGCGGGCCCGAGCTGTGGGTAGTAACGTAGTAAGTAATAAGCATATAAAATATCACTTACATGTGGAAAATCATCAATTACACACATAATATGTACATATATATATATAACATTATATAATTATAGGAACCTATATGTGAATAATGTATTAAACATGTGTATAGATAATGAATAAAAAATGTAAACGCAATGTACAAATAATGGATTGCAAGGATTTGCAAACAACTTACCAACTGGGATGCTAAAATTCATTCCCTGTTCAATCTACGTAGCATTTCCCAGCCCTTTAGCATCGATATATTCATTTTCATATCACCAAGTGCTGCAATCCCAGCATTTAGAAATCCGAAGTGAAGTGAAGTCGGGCCCAGTCAAGAGTTGCCCAAACAAAAACGGCTGCAATATCCACCATGACGACCTATCGGTTGGCCTAATCATTTTCCGATCTTACCATAATCCCAACATTTATATCAATTTAATTATCTACTCTAAGGATTCCTACGCTGTGGGACAAATCCAACTTAGCCATTTTAAGATCATCTTCCGGTTAAAGCCACTGTCCTATCGTCAGGTTTCATGGGAGGATACGAGTACCACTTACCCAGGCAGAATCGCTCCAATGATCCAACAATAAGCAAACCGAAGTCTCACCATCCGTAGGTTCTTGTTCATATGATCAATTATCACCATAATTTCTATTTGGATTTATTTGCCACATACAGTAGATATGTCGAGTGCATCATTCGAATGTGTGTCCTTTTAACATGTTTTTCACACCCCAAAGCTTTTAGTATGTTCTCTATCTATTCATGTTGTCCAATTTTGGGGCATCGAATATGATCGCTTATGGAATTTAAGGTTGTTGCTACTACATTGATTTGCGATGCATCCAATGAGTCTGAGGTCTTACATATATATATATATATATTATCATTCATATATTTCAATGTGGCAAACCCATGTTTTTTAACATCCCCAAACCATTTTTATGGCAGTTTTAGGTTGCCCACATTCTTCATGTTCAGCCCAGGATCCTGTGAAGGTGCGGTTTCTGCCTCCTCACACTTCGCAGCGCCCCCGCCATGTTCGGGCCATGCGTGCCACTGCTGGGCCACAGCATCGCTACGATGCGGCGCCGCTCGCTGAACCAGGCGTCCACCACGCGTCGCGTGTGGGACGAAACAGCCAAGGCATCCTGGAAGTGACCGAAATAAACGGCAGACTCACCTGGCCGGGAGATGAGGTGATTGTCCTGGAATGCCCTGGAAAATGGGAGGAAATGAGGATTTGAGGGGAATTTCGATCAATAAACAGACTAAGTTTCGTTTTTTGGGGGTAGAGGTTTAGAGTTCCGAGACACATGGGATGATAGGGCCTGCTATGGAATTCCTTTTTTTGGCGGGTCTTCCGTGATATACAAGGTCACATTGCTTGATTTAGACAAAATGCGCGGCAAATTCCCGATCGAAACCTAAACATGGTTTAAGACATGGCTATTCCGTGACACTTTTGCCTAGAGATCTTGAAAGATATGCTTCCCCCACATTACCATTATATGTATATAAACATGACAGGAATCATACCTGTGTAGTGCTGTGTATAGATAATTAGCTATGATGGCTTGATGTTTGAGGTTAATCCAGGTTTGTCTGAAAATAGGGTACCCTACAATTCACTAGTTCATCACAATTGGCACCGTTCAAGTTGCAATTTTACGGGTACCCCGCCGATTTTCAGATGCATCCAAACATGATAAAGATTCTTGTTGTTATATAATTGTTGGTCGGTACATAGTATATCCCATTATATATATATATATATATATCTTTTTATAATATATCCTCATGAACCCCTTGGTGTTTCTTGGATTTTGTGCGTGGATTTGCGACGGGCGCCGGTCCGCAAGGTCCGATGTGAAAAACACCGAGGCACGTATAAAGTCGAGCTTTGGCCCTGGGTTCATCTCGCTGGGCCCGGGCTTCTGGAAATCTGCACCTGAGAAAAACCGAGTTTGAACCAAGAAAAATTGACATGTTCCCTCTAAACATTGGAAGGTGTGGGGGTTTAACCATCCATGGAGAATTTAATTTAGCGAAACTGATTGACAACTCCAATAACTAGGAATTTTGATATATATATATATACATATATCTGTTCCATGGGCTTAACCCAGCGTAGCAACCCAACAGGTCCGAGGCTTCCAGGGTTGGGTGCCATTCCGGTTTTGGCGAAAAACGGCGCACCACTCTTGGTCCCAGAGATTGAAGCCCAACAGTCACTGCTGGGAATACGATATAATTATCTATCCGATCGAATCTAATCTACCAACACAAAATCCAGGTGTGAACATATGAACTGGTATGAGGATGTATAATGATGTATATAAGTCATACAATGACTCAGCGAACAAGAATAATCGAAACAAACAAAAAACAAGAACACCAATAGTCACCAATATACAAAATGGTTGTCCCTTCAAACCATTGGATTGCAACAACACAAACTGATGATATTGATGACAACAGGATTATATACATGATATATATATATATATATAACAATATATATATAACATTAAAAATATATATCTATAATTAATTTTAAGTTATATATGTTATATAGTTTATTAAATGTGTATCATATTATATATATATATATATCAAATTAAATACATATATATATATTATGTCATATATTATATATGTATTATTTATTATATTTATATATATTATAATTAATATCATATTTTACTTCATTATATTAAGTTATATTATACTATAAAATATTCAATATATATATATATATATATATTATTATATATATGTATTGTCTATATTATTTAAATAATATATTCTATATTACATGTATTGTATGAATTATATATATCATATATATTATAAATATCAAAAAATACATATATATATATATATTAATATATATATATATATTTATTTATTTATTTATTGTATATTGTTTTATTATATAATATATATTACTGTAATTATATATATTATACATTATATTTCATTACATTTCATTATATATATTATATTGAATATATTTTAATATATTATATATTAAATATTAAATATTATATATTATATATTAAATATTAATTTTATTATATATTATATATTATGTATTATAATTTATATATGTATACTATTATATATATATATATATAAATATTCTGTATAGCATATACTATGATTATTAACATTACTATTGTTATCATTATATATATACTATATTATATACATGTATATTATATTGGACACTTTCCTGTCATCCAATGTGGCAAAATAACCTCCCGAGAACTGCAGATGATTTTCTTCGCGCCACTCCTCATAGCATCACAAGATGTTGGGTTTTCCTAACTGGAGCGACCAAACATCACCCAAATTGAACATCCCAGTTGACCCATGTTGACCCATGCTGACCAGTGCGGACTGAAGGGCTGAAATGAGGCATGAACACAATCTTGCTCACATCTTCCAAGTTCGAAGCAGCATGCCTTCCATGGTACAGTTGTCTCAAGTGGGACATACCCTCCAGATCCCTCCAACCAGATCTATGTTAATTTACCCTAGGGGAATTATATTATACTATCTAAAATATTATATATATATAATTTTTGGATCAACACTGGGAGCTCCTCATGTACGGAAGCCCTCAACAATCCTCCCAGTTTTGATGGCCCATTGTGGAGGTGCCGCGCAGGTAGCTCCAGGCAAACAACTGAACATATATACCAGGTTTTGAAGATGATACTCTCCCAGTCTTCACAAACAGTAAATAAAGTGCCAAATAGAGGTTTCCGAAGTCATGGTGGTACCTCCAAACTCATCCAAATGATGACTTACCATTTTTGTATTGAAATCCATCGCTGTTTCCTCAGCACCTTCGAAAGCTGATGCTGCCGTGTCTTCCGCGGCACAACTGACGACTGCGCAACGAACTTCGGAGGTGGCACTGAAGGTGCTCCTCCACACCTGAGCCACCCATAAAAGCTGCAGAAGTTTGGGTCAAAGAACCAGTTTTTGTTTTCTTTACTGGATGCCCTTGAAAGATGGCCCATGTATAGATTATGCCCTATCACAAAAAATATTGTTTTGCATAGCAAACTGTTAAATTACCTGCGGGTAAACAGTTGAGACATATTTAATTTTGCTGAGTAGATGCCTCTTTTATATTATAGTTTATCATAGTATGTTTATTGAATTACGGTACCTACATCTAAATATATACGTATCTTTTTAATATACGAACGAACTGGTATTTTAGATTACCTCCGGGGAGATTTTCCTTGGCCCGCTCAGCTATGGAAACATACGGAATCCAAATTATTTAAATACACGTTCATATACAGATGGAACTGGTGTTTCATACTACCTACAGGGCCTTGTGGTCTGGCCTCCGCATATTTAAATGTCTTTACCGCAAAATATCTTCAACTTCCAGCATGTTCTAGCAATAAAATGGCACCCTCCAGTTATGCTTCTTGGTTTGTAAGGAAACCCAGCCAATGGATTGATATATCCGCCATAAATCCATCCAACTGAGTAACTGGGCCTTGATATTCTGGCTGCCTTCAAGGAGCTTGCCAAGCTGCCAAGGATCCAGCGCAACATGCCAGTGAGAACATGTGAGAACCAAAAAAACTATAGATATAGGATATATACCAATAAATATAGGATGGGATTCATAACTTATATAACCGACAATGGTGATATAATGATGATATGTGAATCAGAATGTTTTAAATCACCAGTAGATACTAGGAGCACCTGTTGTTCCAAGTGGCAAAAGCTCCGTTGAGGCTCTAAGGTCAGCTGGGACAAGGGATGGAGCAATCTGGTGGTGAAAGCTTCATGGTAATTCTCTGTCTGTCTCTCTCTGTCTCAACGTTTTATTGTAACGTATTGCCACCTCACACCACCGAGAACCCCCATTGCACTCCCCGAATCAAACCAATATGATAAACATAATATACAAAGATGCGGGTAAACGATATATTTATATATATATATATATTAAATCACTAGCCTGAAACAAGGTTATATTGGGATAGTTACCCTGCTAACTAACCATGATTCTAGTGAGGTCGCAGTGGGGTCGCTATAATTTATCCAAAAACATTGCCATTGCCCCGGGGCCGAAAAGAGCTACGAGCTACGAGCTTCCAGCTGCTTCTGATTCTCAGGTTCCGCCGCCAAGATCACCAACAGCGTCAAGGGATCTTCCTGGAGACCCAAAAAATCCAGGATCCCCGGTTCGTAGATGGGTGGCAAAGGGACAACATCAGCTGGATTTTGGGAAACTTCTTGGGACCATTTTGGGCTGCTTTTGGAGGGGCACTGTGGCACTGTTCGTAAAGTGAAGTGCATAGAAAAGCAGGCCATGCTAGCAGCTTCGCAGTTTCGTCTCCACTCCACCCGGGCTTCACCTCCAAGTTTCAACCTTTTTTTTTTTCAAATGAATAGATTATTCAAGTACATTCAAGTACCACAACCCTGCTGCCCTGGTAAAAATCAAGATCATCAACTGAACTGGTATATTTTAAAGGTACTTACTGTAGATCCTAATGTTAATCCCTCCACCCGTCATACATTTTGACCCATGCCATATCACCAGTGGATACTCCACCCTTGGCCTCGAAGGAGAGCAGGAAACGAAGGGCATCGGAGTAGGAACAGGCGCCGGAAAGCCCCTGACAGTTGCGGAGGTAGACCTCCATGGTGCCATTCCATGTGGTTCCAGTTGTCGTGACCAGACCATCTGGAATCGTCATCTCTGGGCCTGAAAGTGGCACGCCGGAGCAGGACAAGACCTTGTCCACGTCATCACAAATTATGGCAACCTGGAGATGGAAAATCTAAAAAGGTTGATATAGGAACATCATCTATCAGCAATCAAACGCAGAAAAACTATTTGTTCTAAGGATTTCAAAGAGGGGTTCATTTAAAAAACACACAGAACTCAAGGCCGACTTCGAAAGCCCAAGAACTCAATCGTTCCTTCAAGTGTTGCAACACTTGGGCTCCAATGGGACCAAACCTGGCAGAGATACACCAGGGCTGAACCCCCCGGTTGTGAGCAATGCATCATTAGGGCGATGTATTATCATAATACCCGACTATATACGGAGGTAGTATAATAACTCCCTATATTATCCTATATTAACCAGTCAACCAGGGTATTTTTAATGGCTCAAATATGGTTGCCGAACTGAAGTCCACCATCAAGTCATCACGAGAAACTTGGCAAACGATGGCTCTTCGCCCGCCATGTTTGCCCCATTTCTTCTAAAATCCACCACGATGGAAGCCAAATTCGGCTTTCTCCACTATGGACTATACCTATACTATCTGGTTGGTGGTTTCAATCCCTCTGAAAAATATTAGTCAGTTGGGGTTATTATTCCCAATATATGGAAAAACAAATGTTCCAAACCACCAACCAGCTATACTTTACTTCACCTTGTCGGTTTGACCGATCATTCTTTCAAGAAAAACAGAACTGTTTTGTCCCAATCCGTCCTATACATCGAAAAAAACACGGAAAGTGTTGTCAATCTGCTGGGAGATGTCCTACTGTCAGGAACCCAACGAAATCCAACCCCTTCGATATGTCATGATATATCTACTACCTAACATCAACCCAATCTATGATAGTGTTGTAAACAATTGGTTGTAACCATTCTATTATTACGTTTCTATCATTTTATTTGCCATAATTCCATATAATTCCTCCTTAAGTTCCTGTGTCATAGTGACCTCCAACTGAATCCCCTTTGGGAAGCCAACCCCCCCATCTTCCCCCCCGATCCCCCCATCTTCCCCGTGTCGCCAAGGCACCAATACAGCGCCTCCGGGCCCGATCGACCGCGCTGCAAAGATCTCATCCGCACGGCCGCGGCCCTGCTCGATCTCACCGACCAGGGAGCCAGCACCGCGACACGATCCTGGCGAAGAAATGAGAGCCTGTCATGGGGACAATTGATGGAAATTTATGGAACATCTATGGAAATTGATGGAATTTTAAAAGGATTTCAGATGCCATTGGGGGGTAATGGAGGATACTATGTTATGGGAGATGTAACGGAATATCTATATATATATACTGATACTCATGACACTTCTCATTATAACATATTATAACGTCTATTTTCAAGATCTTAGCACCAACAACGTGATATGTGGCTTTACGCAGAAAGGGTGGAGTATATTCATAATATTTCATAACGGGTGTTTTTGAACCAGCAAAATTGGGATTCAACCAACAAACTCGGTGATATAATCAGGATATCCGAACCCAGCGGATGAGAATGTGTTTAACCTGTTGATTTGACATGAGTTAAACAGCAACACGTGGGCATGAGGCATAATCATGATGGTGGATCTATACCCAAAAAAAAAGATGGTTGGGAAAGAAATGATAGGAATGGCCGATTTTTGGTGAACAATCACCATTTTGTTTGAGCTTTCTGGCACAGCCCACCACGTGAATTTGAGGAGGATATGAGATATGTTAGCCTGTTGGCCGAAATTTCATGGTCCGATATACGGTATTCAAACGACAGGCCGAAGGGAAAATTGATAGGAAACTGTAAGCTTTCACCACAAATCTCGAGCTTTTTGGTCCAAAAAACATCTAACTTCCCTTAACCAATCTATGACCTTTTCCAAAGTCCTTGCAGTGCATCATGAATGACATGAAAAATAAACCACGACCAGTTTACCTGAGCGTACCATTTGGGGCGTATGACTAGCCATATCCCAAGAAACGTCAAAAACAAAGTGTTTCTGGAATTGGATTTCCCATCAAAGGATCACCAGTTCTTCTGGTGAAATCACATGTTTTGTTGGTACTGTATTATCTCCGTTCCTCTCAGCTAAACATCCGGCTTTCACCGTGTCCAATTGATTCATATCGTTTCCATGTCTTTTCAGAAAAGGTTTTCCGACAAGTCATGAGGGTAGCCCCAAATCATCCAGTCGTCATGGATGACATTGGATGACCATACCTTAGCATTGAAGCAACCAGTGACTTGGGGCCCATGACTTAAGACTTAAGAACCCCCAAGCCTCCTGCATATGGTAAAACCCTATCATGATATTAGGAAAGCCATCAGCTTAAGGAAAACCATGAATCACTTCCCCGTAATATTAAACACAACCCAAAAACCATGGTCTAAGAGGAATTTACACATCATAATTCTGACCATTTAGGGGATGTTTACTCTTGGGGGGATGGGATTCTATCATTCTATCCCATGATATAAATCCCTATTATAAATATTTATAAATGGTGTTCATCTGTGCCATGACTTAAGAAACATGACTTCAGAAACCATCAGATCTTCATCTTGAAAGCCGGTCCTTAAAGTCCCAGAGCTCTGGCTCAGCCTTCAGCAAGGCTGCCATGCAGCTGAGAAAGTTCCAGCGGTTGGACGTTCCGGCACCCCCTGCGGTTGAGGTACTGAACGAAAACGTTGGAAACTTGGAAATCACGGGAAAAAGCTTGGGAAAAAACTGGCTATACAAAAATAGCAACCCTAAGATAGATAGAAAAATTGGAAACCTGGAAATTATGAAGGAAACATCATCAAAACTATCATCCTGGAAATACATGGAGATACTGTTCAGCATCTCGTTGGGCGGGTGCTATACATATTTAGTAAGTAGGATACATTCCAACAAATCCAATGGTTTAAATCACTTTTATTAATCCCAGTCACTAACCATTCAGCCTCTCGAGATGTAACCTGGAATGTTAATCTCAAGCCTTTTTTTCCTTTTTCATAGGGAAGAATTGAAGATTTAATCTGAATTAATAACATGGAATAACGGCATATTTTAAAATCAGCTATATAAGAGGATGTCAACCCTCACGAACTCATGGCAGGGCTATCCCACTTGGAACAACTTGGATGACCCTAGACGATCGAATTTAGCAGCATTTCCAAGCTGCATCACAACTTCGGGTGGAATGGACACGAGGAACCACTCGTTATCATTCATTATCTGCTTAATTAACCAGGCGCTAGTTACATCTAGGTATACCTGACCGCATCATCCGGACCAAAAGTTGGCTTTACGTTGCTTGCCAAACATGAGATGTTGGGGACCCATATGGGACCCATGCGCCTCGAAACAAGGCATCTGCATCAAAGCCGAACTTCTGCGCAGTGCTGCCAAAGCGGTTGAACAATGACTCGCGATGGAACCCTTTGCGTGCCAAATGTGCTGAGAACCACAAGTCATCGTGCAAGCGGCAAGTGTCGGGGAAACCTGGATGCTTTCAGAGTTGCTCCAGGGGATGGTTTACCTCCATAAATGCGCACTCTTTGAGCAAACCCCGAATTTGTCGTGGATGGATCATTTGGGCCCTAAAACATGTTTGTTGATGATCTTGGATGCCACATATTACTGTCAAATAATCAATTTGAATTAAAGGAGTCTCGTTCATGACTTACATCCTCAGCGTTTCAATGCGTTTCAGGTGTCCCTTGTGGTAACACATACCCCAACCTCCCCAAGCAAGAAACGTTGACCTCCAACTTTCTTGAATGTTAAATACCCCCCTAGAAGCGACCGGCTTCAGTACTGGATCTATTGATCTTGGGGATCATATATGGAGGGTATTTAATGTTGAGAGTGGAGTGCTAGCCCAGCAACCTTCATAATTGCTGGCCCAATTGTCAAAGAATTTGCGTTGAAACAGTACCCCATGCACACCCTCCAGTACTGCGCCCTGTAGGTAATGGTAGGCATGCTGTGTGGCTGCTCCAATGGCACGACCCGGCAAAGGGCCAGTGGCTGTTAAGAGCTTCTCCAGCAAGCGTGGGCCGTAGATTTGATCGTCGTCCACCTGGGGAAAGAAACCACCCATCCCAAAGGATCAAAAGCTTCCGATTTCTTAACGTTCATTGAATTCATCATTGTCCAGCTTCCATATACATCCATATGCTTCCAATACTGCTAGCTTCCGTGCTTTCATCCCGGCCTGCAAGATGTAGGTCTTTGGGTTCCGTTCCATCCTCAACACTTGGTGCATGTGCGTGGCAGGACCCGAATCCAGGCAGCGCTGCAGCTGAAAGTTGTGGAATTGTGAAGCCTTCCTCTGGAGCCACTGCGGGATGTCCTGGGCGATCATGTCGATGTGAAGGTGGATAGCTTTCAATGCATGGGAAAATTGACGGAAACCATGGGCTGTAGCACGGCAATTTTCAAGGTTTTCTCTATAGTTTCACTTCAACTAACTGTGGGAATTTCAGGACCAAATACGTGAAAACATGGGCCAATGCCAAGAAATGTTTCTGGCTGCGATCATCGCTCACTTGAACTCTTTGAAATCACCATTCATAGCGTTGCTTTGCCTGAGAACATGACACTCAAAAAACAAAACCTCATGGTTTCTCAGGTCATGTTTCCCATCAAAATTGCCGTGCAGTGCTGTAAATACCTAATTTCTAGATTCAGAAACACCAACATCAACAGAATTTATGGATAATTTCATGTCGATCAAGCAATCCCATATCAAAGGGATTGTTACCTCTTGATACCTCTACCATCCCAAGCTACCCAATCGAACCCCAAGCTGTAGCTGCGCTGCGCCCAGTGGCATAGATGGTGCTGTCTCGGAGGAAGGTGCGCGGCACAAAGAGGTAGATCATGTCCAAAACCCTGGCGCTGCATGCGACGACTGGGACGACCCTGGAGGTTGATAGCATGCTGTTGAACAACATCAACAAATAACAATATAATACTCGTAAATGTGGCAAATACCCAAGGTATAAATCATAAAAGCAGTTAGACACTAGTTAAACACTGTTTTTCGCGTGGTCTTTGCATGTTTCTGGTATTTCTGAGATGGTCAGTGGGTAAATTATGCTATATAAATTAGAGGCAGCTTATGGCTGGGTTACATTCGGTTTAACACATTGCATCCTGACGCGTCGCAAGGGTCCCATGGAAGCGCTGGCCCGTCTGTGGGCCTGTGGATTATGGGATGGATCATTGGAATGGGTTTTCATCATACAGGTACACTTCCAAAAAATAGAGCCCACACCCGTTGACCGTTGACATTGAATCACAAAGACATCAAGAGGAGAAAACAACACCAGCATACATTTGCTTTAGTGTGAAAAAACATTGTCTCGTCTGGACAAATGATAAAGAAACCCAGAATCTTAGCCAAACTGGCCGTTGGTCATCAGAGTTGAAGTTTGTTGGGAACAACACAGCAATTAGTTTGAGCCTACCTGGATGATACGTGGCTGATAGACATGGTATTTTCCATGATGTGTTCCAATTGTCATTGGTAAAACCCGAATCATATTCTTGCTGGTGGTTTCAAAATGTTCCAACCCTCCGAAACAAATTAGACAGCTTGGATCAAAAATCCAAAATAAGGTTGTTTATCTTTAACGATTACATCACCAACCAGCACATGGGGCTATCAAGCACTTATCCTGGGACATCAACGTACCCCAGATCATCATTCCTTATGTATATATATATATATACACACATATATCCACTATATCCCCGTTGTAGATGGCTAAATCATGTTAACTCCCCATGATTTTTGGTTGAATACCTATCAAGTGATCAAGCACTATATATGGGTTATCCAGCATTTCCTGGGATGCACATCCACCTATGTCCCCTGGAAAGTACTTTTTGTCCCAACTTCAGGCCCTGTCAAAAAACCTCATTCAACTAGCTCATGTTCTCATTCAATATGATTCACATGATGGTTTTCACTCATTCAATATGATTCAAAAGATGTTTTCCTCCCAAAATCGGGATTTTGAAGAAAGTTTTCCCAGATCTTCCCGTGGATTTTCCGATTTCCCATGGATCTTCCTGTGTTTTTGCCGACCTGCTCTGGTTCAGCAAGCTGTCAATGACCGGCTCGATCAACGCGATTCTCCGAGGCGTCGTGGTCATGGCCGCCACCACACGGCCTGTCACCTGGTCTCTCCTAATTGGTGCATACAAAAATCCACCTTATACTATCAGTATTAACCATAAAACTATATATATATACGCATATTTAATTATATGTCATGGTTATAAGTTATAATATATGGCTAATACTGGATATTTTCTATCATAAAATAAGGGTTACTGTAATAATGGTTATCTGCAATACATTGTTAATAATATCTAAGAACTTGATTATGTAGTGGTTACAATAGATACCTATGATCAATGGAAAATCACTAGGTCAATACCAATTGTACAAACATGTAGGAAATATAACTAAATTATGCTTAATGGAAGAAAAAACTATGTATATATATATAACTATATGCAACGATATGACTTGATTACCCTCTAGCTATTTCATGTAGCGAACTGGAAAATCACCATTTTCAAGAACGGTAAATTATGTTTGTTTGTTTTTTTTGCCAGGGCCTCTCTAAGGTTTGCCCAGACCGAACTAAACGGGCATTCTCCATAGCTATCTTAAATAGCCAAGTATATAAATTTACGCAATGGGTTCCAAATGTTTCTAACATTGTATCCGATGAATGCCAATATGTATTTTGAAAAAGTGTGTATACATACATGGGTTTGTGTATATATATTTAAAAAATTACTTTACTTCGTGTGATCCCCACCATGACATTTATACATTTTGTTACTTGCAAATCTTCTGGCATTCTATCTGGCATATGTTCTGGCATATCTTCTGGCATTCTATCTGGCAAATCTTCTGGCATTCTATCTGGCATACCTTCTGGCATTCTATCTAGCAAATCTTCTGGCATTCTATCTGGCATATGTTCTGGCATATCTTCGGGCATTCTATCTGACAAATCTTCTGGCATATATTCTGACATATCTTCTGGCATTCTATCTGGCATATCTTCTGGCATATGTTCTGGCATATCTTCTGGCATATGTTCTGGCATATCTTCTGGCATTCTATCTGGCAAATCTTCTGGCATTCTATCTGGCAAACATTCTGGCACTTTATCTGGCATACCTTCTGGCATTCTATCTGACAAATCTTCTGGCATTCTATCTGGCATATCTTGTGGCATTCATTCTATCTGACATTCTAGGTGGCAAATCTTCTGGCATTCTATCTGGCATATCTTGTGGCATTCATTCTATCTGACATTCTATCTGGCATTCTAGGTGGCAAATCTTCTGGCATATGTTCTGGCAAACATTCTGGCACTTTATCTGGCATACCTTCTGGCATTCTATCTGACATTCTATCTGGCATACCTTCTGGCATTCTATCTGGCATATCTTCTGGCATTCTATCTTTCTATCATCTCTTCTGGCATTCTATCTGGCCGTTGAGGTCCAGCGGTGCACACTGAGCTGGGAAGTTGGCAAAGAGCTTGGCGCAGAGAGTCGGCGAAGAGAGTTGGCAAAGAACTGGGCGAAGAGTTGGCAAGGCGGAAGTGCAGGTGGGAGTTGATGCAGACATGGTCGAGGAGAAACTGGAGGAGGAGGCGAGGAGGAGGACGAGGAGGAAGAGGACAGCTAGTCGAGGAGGAGGAGGAGGATGACAAGGAGGAGGACGAGGACGCGGAGGAAGAGCGCTCTGATAAAATCTAACAACCCTCACCTGGCAGGTGGGGAAAAAACAAACAAAAATATATATTATTATATTATATAATGATTATGTCTTTGTTGGGTTTATAGCTTTTTTTCGTGCGTGTCATATTCCCCACACCCAAGCAGCTGCAACGTTTGACATGGTTTTACGCGCGAGCCTTGAAAAAAGTCCTGCAATGGCCAGCTACGAGCTGGGCTCAGAGTAATGAGCAAGTGTTTGTGGCTGCTCAAGTGTTGGACATGCGTGCTAGGCTTGCTTTTGACAGTCTGCTGTATGCACAAAGAGTCTTTGCGGTTGGCATCGGTTGGCCCATTTTTCTTACAGAATGCCATTCACCTGGAAGAGGATGCGGTCAAAGACTCATGGTTTGCTGGTTTGAGAGCTGACTTGCACTGGATGCATGAGATTGGCTCCACTGCCTTGCCAGCCAATTGGAATGAAGGAAGATACAACGCCCCTCATTGATGCATGGCAAACTCAAGGTTTCCCTTGGAAGGCCAAAGTGAAAGCAACTGCTAGGAAACATCAGCTGCAAGAAAAAACAATTGCTCAGATTGCCACATTGCACAAGGACCTATTCGATGTCCTTCAGCAGGCACTGGCCACTTTCCAACCTGATCCCTGTCAGGACAGGCCTGAGGTTTGTGATTATTCTTGCTTTTGCGGTATTAGCTTTGCCACACGACGCGGCCTGCTAGCTCACCAACGAAGAAAACACCAGATATTTTCTGTTGAACGGCAGTTTCTGCAAGGAGCGGTTTGTTTGCATTGTGGTCGGTTTTGCTGGACTACCCAACGCTTGCAGCAGCATTTCACATATCTTCACGCGGAAAAAATGCCGAAGAATGTTGTTGGCCTTGCCAGACGGGAATTCTTGCAGACCTATGGACCACAGGGTGAGCAAACCACGGCCTTGCATATGCAGAGACAGAATTGACAGCATGAGCTTGACGACTGTTACCAACAGCTTGAAATCACTGCTCAGTCTGAGCATGTAATGGAAAGGGGGGCCCAGATTGGTGATGCACTCACTAATGCCACTCAAGCATGGTTTCAAGCTCATTTTCCCTTGGGGCCTTCAGACAGTGAGAAGCAACAGCTTATTGATGATTGGGTACATATCCTTTCATCGAATTTGGTGACAACAACCCCCTTTGGGACAACTGGCTCGCGTTTGTTTTCCTGGCATGGGGGGCCGGGGGATCATTGGTTGCCAGACATTATTGCTACTTTCTTGGATGGAGAGGCCGAGCAGGTCGTTGACGAACTGTATGCGGATTTCGCTACTGGGTTACCGAGATATCAAGTTCTGGCCCGTATCTCCTTCCTCGAAGCTAGCCTGCGACACTGTGTTGAGGCCGCGCCTGAGCCGCACCGGCCTGTACCACAGGTGAGACCTGGATTGCACCACCCTAAGGTCAATTCACGGGTCTCTCAACCAGTTTGCCGATCTTTTGGTTCTCGTGATCGTGGTTGCAGCATGTACGTAAGTGCGCATTTGTTGACTTGCCAGCGGTTTTGCAGCTGGATAAATATAAAAACTGTCTCGGACTTGCCGGTCGCAAACGTACAGGTGATTTCCATCATGCATGCATTGCATCAGCTCACGGCGGAAAGTAGCTGGCAGGTGATTGTGTTGTCATTAGATACAGCAGTATCACAGGCACCGTGTCTTGGGATACCTGAACCTCAGTATATCTGTCTGGGCGAGTTGCTGCTACCCTCTGTGGACCACCCTACGAAACGTTTAGCGAGAGCGAGGCGCAGTAACCAGTGGACGCAGCCAGGCCTAGCATCTGGACAAGTCCCATCATCCAACTATATACTACTTCGTTTGCCTGATCTGCAGCTCCACCATGTTGCACAGTATCGTTGGGGGCTGAAGCCGTGAAGCCCACTGGTCTGTTGACTTATGTTGACTTGGGCCCTTCCGTTTTTCGCGTGACCTATACAAGAAGGCTTCTGGCGACGCGATGCGACGCGGTCAAGCCCAAAGGAACTGCTATTGGGAAAGATGCCAACGGCGAATTCAAAACGTCCCCGCATGAAGAGTATCCCGGGCAGTTTTGTTTGGCTCTGGCTTTTGGGCTGCGCCGGCGCCCGTGCAAGATCTGGATGATGGGATTGTATGTGCTGCTAAGTCCAGTGCAACTATCCGTGCCAGCGCACAGTGGCCACCAGACTTTCAGAATCTTTAATTCATTTTGCAAGCCGCTGCAGCAAGGGTTTGACCCTTTGACGCATGAAATGAAAAAATGATGCGTGTCATATTTCAAAAAACGGGGAAGCCAACAATCAATGAATCTATCTATCCATCCATCCATCCATCCATCCCTCTATTTATCTTTTGATCTATGTCTCTATCTCTCTATCTCTCCATTTATCTATCTGTTTTTCTTTCCATCCATCCATCCATCCATCCAATCCAATCCAATCCATTCCAATCCAATCCAATCCAATCCATCCATCCATCTATCCATCTCTCTCCATCCATCTATCTATCTATCTATCTATCTTTCTGTCTATCTATCCATCTATCTATCTATCTATCCATCCATCTATCTATCTATCTATCTAATCAAACTTAATTTAATCTAATCTAATATAATCTAATCGATCTATGTATTTACTCAATATCTATCTATCTGTCTGTCTATCTATCTAATCTAATCAAACCTGATTTAATCTAATCCAATCTAATCGATCTATCTATGCATTTACTCGAGCAAGAGTATGTATGTCCAAAGGGAGAGACATGCATACATACGTCACACACACAGATATGTCTATATAAGGTCCATCACAATGCCTTTCAAAGCCTACGCATCTGACTCCCCGACTAGAACTTGAGGATTTATAGACTTGTTTGAACATGGTAGATGTTGATGCATGTTGATGGTTCTCATCATGTTCAGTGGCCAAAGTTGCCACCTTCAAAACGCAAATATGGTTTTCCACCCCTGCCCTGCCTTGAAAGCATAGCCATTCCACTGCCGAAGTTCCTGTGCGGGATCATGTCCTAGAAGATTGGCTAATTTGAAAGAAATCCCAAACTGATCATGTTAAAAAATGGTAAGAATCTGGGATTCAACATGTTCCCAGAATCATTTTCCACTCCTATATCGCATATAAAGAATTATACATATATATTATATATTATATATATACACCTATAACATCCTTTAACCTATATATATACATTTATATAAAGAAGCCCCATTCGAAGTCATATACCAATTCATGTGGTAAACCCAATAACTAACCAACTCCAAAAACATCCTACATCATGTGTGGTCTTTTACCCATCCCCAAATGGTAAGTATATATAAGATTATGGCATTGGGTCTCCCACATGATATACCTTCTGGTAAACTAACATAGCTATGGAACATGACCATTTATAGCTGATTTACCTATAAACAAAAGTTGATTTTCCATAGGAAACTCTTGGCAAACCAAAGGGTAGTTACAATGCTAATGTCTCCGTTACAATATCAGTGTATATCGTATTTTCCATTGAATTATATCCTATGATATGCCCATGATGTTCCCATTGTTGTTAGTACATTTTTGTTACCATTGATGGCAACAGATTAAAGTACATGTTTGTATCATAAAGTAATATAAAGCATCTAACCAAGGTTGGTCCATTAATATGTTCATATATGTTATCACATGTTATCACTATACCCATCATGTCCGTTCCTCCGTTCCCACATGGCATCCCACGGCCTCGACCAATTCCCGTTCACGCGGCGAACCCTCCCGGCGCAGTGGGACAAACAGATCCTCCCGTCGCAACGTGCAAAACCACGACGGGGAAATCAGGAAAACCTTGAAGATTGGGATAGACTCGGTGTGGATTGCGGCAATAAGACATTAATGTAAGCCAGTGGATTACCCCTTAATGATGATTAGTAAGTGGGTAAATGATGTTAAATGTGGTTAGCACGTAACCCAGAAACATGGAAGAACTCCGACTTTATTCTTGGAGATGGCGCGCAAAGGTTCCCAAGTTAGCCACTTGATAAATGTGTGTTTACTCATTGGGCAATAATTCCATCCCTGTATTTTCAAAACTACTCCAGGTGTTTATCATTAATGGGGGATGTTAGTATTGATTAGGGATTATTAGATACAATTGTCTCTAAAATTAGACTTTAAATGCATTTGAGCTTCCCCTAAACATCCATCGCACACGATACACGTGTGACTTGGTGCGTGCAAAGGTCGCATCTTTTTCCACGACATGAGCCTTCAACACCCCACCCAGGATGCCACGGCGGGGAAATCAGCAGGTCTTTTGGTAGAAACTCATCTCTATGACTCTAGAAGTCGATATCAATGGGGATTTTCCCCTGCTCAGGTTTTGAGTAGTCATACAACATTCAAACAATGAGAAACTAGATGCCATTAGCAGCTCCAACGGTTAAAAATCGGCAATTCCATTGTTACACTATCATTTGGCTGGGAAACTCAAGTCGTAGCTCCAACTGGTTTCCCATTTCATGTGGTAAAACCAATCATCAACCATCTCCCAAAATCACCATAAATGTGTGGTATATTACCATCCCCAATGGTTGGTTTAATGGTTTATGGCATTGGGTTTCCCACATCCAGGATGTCCCCCCAGCTATAGTTTATATTGGTTCATAACCTCCACTAGGTATAGATATTAATGTATCATAAAGCCTAGTTATTGGAGTATCCCCAATGTCTACCAATCATAGGGAATATGGATACCCTAAGCGCTCCGAAGCGCTCCCTCCGTTCACCACCACTGGATCGGCTCCTTCTCAGCCAGGCAAAGCTGCCAGAGCAGCCTTGGTGCGTTCAGAATCGACCCAGCCACCATCACGAGATGAATGGTAATTAAAAATGGAACTGCTGAAAATGGATGAAAATGGCAAGTAGATGACAACTAATTTCCAAAGTCATTGGCTAGTTGGTTTACCTATGTTTACCTCAAATTGCTGGTTTACCTATGTTGCCAGTTTTCCAAAGTAAAAAAACAGGCATGTCTAGGCACATCAGCATCCAACCCCCGGAACTCAGGGCCGATTTAAAACATTCGCCGTGGTTCCACCATGGGCACCGCATCAGCGTTGCGACACCGTGGGCCAACAGATTTCTCCATGGCGACGGATCTGAATGGAGTGCAACTTACTGTAAGGGGAACATATCCGAAGGAATGGAAAGTCAATGATATATGTTCCAAATTGATGGGAAATTAATGGTATATCTAAGTATATCTACTTAATGAATGATGGAATGGAAATATGGAACAAAAATGGAATTTCTATATGAGAATTTAATGATTTGTGGAAGTGCAATGGGAAATTGCTATATATATATAGTTATATAGTATATATATATAGTATATATAATGAGAATCCAACGATATTGACAATGGATCGTCCTATGAACTTCGTCGGGCTTGGGACATTTGCTGGCGCTTTTACAAAGCCAAACATGGTTTTTAGAAGGTGTCATGAAGCATTGCATAAATGGCATGGCATAATTAATAGTGGTATTGGATAAATTGGAAAAATGGTACAGAATATAGAACATGTGGGGAATTGTATGATTAAAATTTTAACATTCTGATTGAACCATGTTGATTCAACAAGACAAGTAATCTATAATACGTATTTTGGAATATAGCCAGCCAAGAGAGGATTTGACACCCGTCATTCATGTGCACCTTAGAATGGACGAGAGTTGCACCATGTTGCACCGCAAGCTAACCAAATTAGGTGGTACATTGGTAGTACATGCAAGTTTCCTGAAATGGGGGTACCCCTAAATCATCCATTAAAAAATAGGATTGTCATAGATTTTCCACTATAAACCAACCATTTTGGGGATCCTCCATTTTAAGAAGCCCCCACATGGTGTTACTTGATTTGCTGTTGACTTGCTGCGATGTGAACCTCTCTATCTCTTTCATAGCTGGAAAGGGTTGCCAAATTCATCCAAAGTGAACGTGATACGAAAGGTTACACAAATACACAACCTGGGGCCCTGGGCATGTCGAATCATGTCAATGGTTTTCAGATGTTTTCAGTCACACATTTCTTCAACACAAAATGAAAATCTGCAGCACCAAATCCTCCAACAGCGGATCTTGCACCCAGAAATGTGGGGAACCTTGCTGTGGATTCAGGCGCCTATAGGAAGGATCCAGAAAAATCAAGCCAGTGAGCTGGCAAAATTCCGGCCCTGCTCAGTGACTTATGGTTGTAACAGGTATTTTATGACTCACTTTTTTGTCATCTAACCAATTTCCAAAAGCGGGGATTGTTATCTCATCTCCATAATTTTGAACAATCATCTCCAATAATTCAATAAGGCAAAATGAATATATCTGTCTTTTAAGGGGAACTATTTGATTCATTCAATTTGAAAGAACGCACTCTTCTTAATCAATTGGTTCCATCGTTTTGCAGAGGGTACTTCCCAAAATAATGCCTTGTACCCCGAGGGAAATCCACATTATTTCAGAAAGAGTGCCGCATCTCCCTCAAGGAGGTGATATGTGTTGACTTTCCACACATACTTCAAGGAATACCATACTTTTTTGATTCAAGGACCAATATACATAAAAGAACTCCATCTTCGAATTTCGAATGAGGTTTTAATGTCTGAGGGAATCTTGCACCCTTTTCAAGGAGATAATGCACTTTCTTGAAAAAAATATTCCAGATAGTTATGAGCATTCACTTCAAAGAATGTCATGGTCACTAAAAAAGCCCTCGTATATATAAATGGATCTGAATTTGAAATGGTGTTGGAATCTGTTAGCAGAAGGCTCCATACTTTTATCGAATTGCATATTTACCTGAGTATTGAAGGTCTTTTAAACCTATTACTGCACTCTTTTCACACAGTTATTGCAACCTTTCGGGAATGCACGAAGTCAGGCCGCACTTTCTATCGCGTTCTCTGAAAAATACGGCTTGGGATCACAGATATTGGAGGATTGTATGTGAAAAAAATGCAGAACGAACTGCACTTTGTCTACTTTATTTTGTTTTGTTTTTTTCGGCATTTGTTTTGAAAAGTGCCAAATTCTTCAGGAAAATAGATTAAAATATATAGATGAAATACAAAACTGCCCTCAACCCATGCCCACTTCTCTGGGCATCTGATTTTTCCCAATTTGGGGACAAAAAAAAACGGAACTAGCCGGCGTCATGATGACCGGGACGTTATGAACTGGATCAATCAGGATTAATCCAGATTATATAATTAGGTTCAGACCAATACATCGGTATGAGGAAAAAAATGGCAACTTGTCCAAAGGTCAGAGTAGTTGTGAAAGCAGTTTTTTGTTGTTGTCTTTTGGATTTTTTGGTTATCAGGATTTCTTGGTGGAAGTGAGACAGACCAGAGCGTGCCAGACACATGCTTTTGTGAAGAGACGTCTATAAGATAGCCTACATCTAGAACGAACTGTTGTGAGCGTGGATAGCCTACATTCAGAACGAATTGTTGTGAGTGTGAGTTTCTTCATTGAATGTCTACCCCAAAAGATTGAAATTCACCGCTCACAACAGGCCTTTCCGAAAATTAGATTATTAGCTGACCGGTAGATATTACTATGAATAGCATGTTACAGCAAAATATTGAAGGATTCAGCTAATCCAAGGTTAACCTAGTGATAAAGTATTAACATGTCAATGTGTAATATACATGTAATAAGATGTAATAAGCCCAACAGGATTAGTATGGTATTAGTCCTGCCCGTCATCTCCAACTTTTCGGCTTTTCCGCGAGGCCACTGCTAGAGACCGCCTTTGAGGCTGCTTGGCAATCCAGGCATCCCAAAAAAACTATGGATATTCTGAGGAATAAGGAAGGCCAAACTCAAAATGAGAGAATTTGGTACGTAACAGTTTCCTCAATTTGTGGCAAGTTTCATGATGTTGGCAGGTTTCAAGAGTTTTGGCACTCCATGAAACCCAGGATATGGTGAAACCACCAAAAATTCGCGAAATCCTTGGCTCTTTCACCGTGGATGACTCGTCATTAGCAGGCCCGGGTCCCGGGTGGCTGTTTCTGAGCTAAAGGGAGCTCTTCTCCGATCTGCCAACCAGCGAAGTAATCCCACGAGATCCCAAATGGTGGATGAACCAATGGGCAACAAATGATGGATAAACAATAGTGGATAAATGGTGGATAAAAAATGGTGGATAAAAAATGGTGGATAAACAATAAAAATCTTTCAGCAAATCCAAGTGATGTGTAGGTGTACAGTATCCGAATGATTTCTTGAGGCTCCAGGACTCTGAGCCAATCGTCTTTTTTAGTACTTTTAGGGGTACCTGGACAGGCACCAAACAAGATCAGCGCGGGATTGCCCAAGGAATCCACATCAATCTTACCCTAGTTGAGGCAATACTCAATCTCACGGAAATGTCTGGTGGGATCAGGTCAGGTATGGAACAATGCAATTGAAAATCACTATGATCAAGAGCTGGTTCATCTAGAAAAGGTTGATTTTCTAGAAAACCCTGTTGAATTTTGAGAGTTTTACTACCTCTCAATCACAAGATCCGCGTCTGAAGACTTCAAGGCTAACCTTTTGTCAGGAATCCTCCATGAAAATCGCCCCTTGGAATAAGGCCGGTCTTTTTTTACGGTGCTGGTTGGCGCCCAAGAGCACTAGTGCGATGGCGCTAGCGTGAGATGGACGTGCCCAAATTGGCGAAGTTGGTGTCCAACACCCAACCTGAGCCAAGAAGAAGGTGAATCTCACCAGGTTTATGAATCCGGAAATGACATTGGCCGTGTTCAATGGGAAAATTACCCCTGCAAAAGCCCATTTCTTTTTCACAACTCTTTTCAGGAATAATACCAGCGAGCCTGGACCCCATGTTCAAATTCCTATTGGTCTATATTTACATTATTTACCCTAGGGTATTCCGGTATTCCCTAATGATGTTTGTTTGTTTATAATGTTTTATCCATGCATTGCGACCATGACCGTGCTTCATTTCCTCGGAGATGACAAAACACGCCGACAATCATCCCAAGGATGGGATGGCTCCGTGGATCAAACACGTGTTCCATTTGAACATGTGCTGTTTGTCATGCATCAGCATATTACATTACATATATATATAACATAATATATATATATTGTATATATATACCAGGGATTACCAGAGCGTTAGTTGTCCGTGCCCAAATTATTGTCATGATGCTGGCCGCCACTGACGTTGTAAATGTTCTTTGCAATGCTTGTCTGCTTCGCATCTTCAACCCATTCCAGGAATATATACGTCCCGAATCATCCCAACCAAGACCGACAATCATGCACAAGAAAAATGCTTAAGATGTCATATGCGAGCCGTCTTAATCAAATTAACTTGTTTGAATGCTCTTCTAACGTCAGTGGAAATCCCATTGCGAAGGACACCCTACGTCATCCTCACAAAGGCTCCCAACTAAGGCTCAGGAGTTCCCCACGACATCAATGGGATTGTTCAAAGTTGGTTCTTCATCCCTGATATTGATGCCTCATTCATTAGGACCAGTAGGAGTCACCGGGGTCATGACTTTAGTCAAGGAAATCACCCAAGATCCCGCTGAAAACTCCCATATCCTCAGGACCAGCGAACGCATCAACTTCAAGAAGTTTTCGAAGGAAAGTCGGCCTGGCAATATGCTACAGAAAATCGCTGCCTCCAATTCTACTCAAGTTGTCTCAGGTTTAGGTTCGGAAATGGTTTGACTTCATCATTTACGCAGACCAGTGCAAGCTGAGTTTGCCTTCCCTGAAAGTGTAAGCCTTGAAGGTCAGTGGTAGTGACCAAAGGCTTTGAGAGAGGCCGGGACCATGATAACACCTAGCTACGTGGGAAATACATCACTGGCCTCCTGATTGTAGAGGTTCCAATCCCACTTGCAACTCCCGGATGCGTCCTCCCTCTCCCACCTAAGTTGCAGACCCCCAGCGGCGACTTCCGGTCTTCATTTAGAACTGAACCAATTTCAACTGTATGCAGGGTGGTGGGATAAAAGTTGGAAAAGAACCGTCATGCGAATGCGAACGACTGTTTTCCGCCTCTTGGGTCTGAAATATGATCAGAAAACAATGACTCTTGCATGAATGGATTCAATCCTCCAAAATGGATTCCATCATCCTAAATCAGGGTGGAAATGATCAGGGTGGAAAGTAAAAACCATCCAGAAGATCCATTGTAGCTAACGTGGCAAACCCAAGTTTTAAAGAACAACACTTCTTGATGGTCACTATCACTTGTAGTAGAATTGGGGGTTGTTTATGTGCATTGGGTTTAGCTCATTGAATGGCATCTGGAAGAATCATCCAATTTTCTTGGCCAGCCACCAACGAAACCCCCGCGGAGCGAAAGATGCGGTGCAACTGCTCCTCTGAGAGAGCTTCCACGTCTGTGTCGATCCTTGGCACTAAACACCCTGATTTTGAGCCCCAAAACAATCCAAGAAGCAGTGCAAGGATGTGTCAAAGTACAGTCTTGAGTCTGGACAAACAAGGTGTACAACACAAAGTTGTACGGGTATGATTAGGCAGAAAAAAGGGAGCAGCAACTATTTTGAAACGAATGGGCGCATACCCAAACATTCCAAGGGTCAATTTTTGGGATATTTTATACATGCCCCCACAAACAGCAGCTAGGGAAGACTGATAGGAAACTGGAAAACTCGTGACGGTGCCAAATTTCGGGTCACTGTTGGTGGTCGCTGGCGGACTGTCCAAAACATAAACATAATCCTCCTATACATTAATTTCAGTATATTATTTATATCAATATTCGCTCTGGGGGCTGATGTTCTATAGATTTTCTTTTGGATCCAACTAGTATCAACCACCTTAGGTGCCACCAGCCTACAAGGGTTTTGACTCATACCCATATGGGTCATTTGGGTCATTTGGGTCATTTGGGCTTATCTCTGTGGTCATTCGGCTTTGTGAAAAAAAGTGGTTGCCCCAAATTAGAAGGTTTATCATGATTTCCCTATCAACATAGCTATTGAGGAGGACATACAGTATATAAGTACATATTCATCTCTCTCTCCATCGCATCTCGGGAGATCAGCAGTCAAGCTGAAGGCGAGCTAAAAAGATGACTTGGCAGGTTCATAATTATATATATGAAGGTTTTCTAAAATGGTGGTACCCCCAAGTCATCCATTTTATTGAAATAAACCATCCAGCTATTGGGGATCCACCATTTATGGGGGGACGATCTAGTACAGTGATGCTGGCTGGATCATTTACAGGATGAGGTACTGAACTCCCCGGTGACACCTGCGTCCAGGTTGACATGCACAGTACAGGTCGAGCGGGCTGTGCATGCAGTACCTTCGTTTTGATTCCTTGTAGGACATCTTTGCGTAATTGCTGCCTGGTACGGCATCTTGCTGGATATACCCTTAGTATTTATTGGTTCGGTATGCGGTACCGTACCGAGCCGCTGCGGCATGGCATTGCCAGGTGGATCATGATAGATTCTCTGCCCGCTTCATTGCATTCATATATATATACACTAAAACCAGGACAACAGTTTTTCCTCTTGACTAGCTGCTGCAACCCTCTCCCCTAAGACTCCTGACAGGTCTCATATGAATCACATGGCGGATCGCGGATAAGCTGGTTTGCTTTAAAAGAATTTTAATTTATTCCGACTTGAAATACGATCCGCCACGCAGGCCACGCGAAATGAGGATAATTGTTCCGCGGCTGAGGATCATGATGTTTGTAAGACGCTAAACGGGAAAAAACTTTCTTCCTCCTGATGTATATATATATATAAACCACATATATATATTATATTATATTATTATTATATGTATTATATATATATGTATATATATATATGTATTATATACATATATATATATGTATTATATACATATATATGTATTATATACATATATATATATATATGTATTATATATATATATGTATTATATATATATGTATGTATTATATATATATATGTATTATATATATATGTATGTGTGTGTGTTATATACCCGATTTTCAGAGAAATGGTAATGGTCACCCCGTGGCCCCCCCAAAATTCCGGCTCGGCGCTCCCGGTCAGACATGCCCTCCACAGGATCATACCGCGCCCAGCGCACGAAGATTTGACGAAACTGTTCCACCTCCGTGGTCACCAACGAAGTTACTTGAGGTTTGACCAGGAAAAGTGGCAATTTTCACCAGAAATGGGGATTTCGGATTTCGGGATTCACTCAGAAAAAGGATGTAACATGATGTAACGCGATTAACCAAGTAACAAAGGGATTTTACTAACAAACTAGGGGGATTCAATGATTTCAATGTACAGTAATTAAGGGAACAAGTGGTTTCCTGCATGTTTTTTTCATCATCCAATTCCAGGACACATGGATTGGATGTTGCCAGTCAATACGAGGTGATGCAGCGATGCAGAAGAATTAGCAGTGTGGATAAGGCCTATGTGAGGGAACATCACACCCAAACGTGGCCATACTGATGGTACGGTGGCTCCGTTGGTGATTGAAATGGCTGACATATGGGGACCCTGGGATCAAGGTCCAAAAATCTTGGATTTTACCACCGAGAAACCAAGGTCCAGAAACAGGTAGAAACAGCCCTTAAAAGGGCCCTAAGCTTGGATGGCTTCTTGCACAGGACACGCCAGAAATATCCAAAAAAAATGCCCAAAATGATGCCGCGACGGCTGCCTCAAACTTACTGAAGCGAAGCTCTTCCATCAATTCATTCAGCTGATCCATTTGACGCCTCAGCGTGTTGAGCCGTGAGCCACGAGGCACCCACAAAACAACTCCTGAAGTTGCTTAACCGTACATAAAACATAGGCCTGTGTCAGCCTGTTATAGTTTAACCTGCAGAACATGAAGCATGATAGCCGTAGAGTCCCCACATTCCCGGCGGTGGATTAACAATTTGTTTTGCCAGGGCCAAAGGGTTTTGCCCCAAAGTTGGAATGCAACAGGGCCAGATCAATCACCCTATGGGAAAACGAAAACTTCTTTAGCAAATCCAGGAACTGGTTGTCAGTTGGGTTGAATGATGGGGCAATAGATGACTGACACTGGATGAATCAAAGGTCAGGGGTATTGCAGTGAGAATTCCAGAGCTTGCTTTAACAAAATTGGTGTTTGCAAAAATAGGGCCGTTACCTTACCATGAAATGAGGAGGTTTTGGATCAGTCCAGAATAGACTTTTGCCAAAAACGCGCTGCCCCCACCATTGCAGAGCCGTAAGCCGAGGGTCTTCTCTTTCTGTGTCTGCAGAAGTCTCAGTAATTGGACCTTGGTTCGATTCGCCGTCCCAAGGCTTCCAAGGGAAGGCCGATGATCCAACCGAGACAAGCTGCAAACGTCCAGAAAGAAATGCTGTTGCCTGGCTCCAGTTGTGCTTCCTGAGTCGAGGGACCCGACAAATAGCCATATAATAAATCATATAAAATCATATAAATCTATAAAAGTACCCACTAACCTATAGATTTTTCCAACTAGCCATGTTTGATGACTGGATAAATTCGACAGTGCTGGATGCCACCGAACATCTCGAATTCCAGCTTCATATGCATTCTTGCGAGCCGTCTCCAAGAGCTTTAGCAAAGCCTTTTGGTCCTGGGTCAGCACCAGTCAGCACCCTTTAAGACTTGGTTGACGAGGGATATAACAAGGGACTATAGCATAATAATAATAATAACATGGGGGATATAACATGATATAATTAAATATAGATATATAAAGGGTTTGGGTTTTTTAAGCAACAAGAATAATTGGGGGGGCGCAAAACAGGTGATGTGAAATATGTGGGACGTTTCAAACATGTCAAATCCTCAACATCAACAAAAGCATAGCCCCTACCCTCTGGTAAACTAACATAAATATGGAAAAACACCATTTTTCTGAAGCAAATCATCTATAAATACAGTAAATACAATCAAATATCCCATGTTCAATAGCTACATTGCAGCTACATTTGCGAAATCTGGAGTGTAACGGCTCCGAGGCTCTGCTTTGGTTTTGGGCGATTCCGAGATGTTGAGGTGCCGCATGAGTCTGATCCTGGGACAAAGTGCGTTGGTCCTCAGGTACTGTAAGATCTGTAAGTACTTTCATGCTAAGCTGCTAAGCTTGAATGCTAAAATGAATTACGAGGGGAATGAAAGCGAATGGTAGATCTTCATTTCAATGTGCAATAGGATTGTAAATGTTTATCATTATGATTCTGATGTATTTCAATGCACCATTTTCATCCATTTTCCCCTTTCCAGGATCGTCATTTCAATGTGCACAGTAAGCACCATCCAAGGCAAGGTGCAACTCGTCGGGCTCCTGTGCGGCTTGGAGAACACTAACGTGTGCATCAACACAAAATCCATACACAAATATAGTGCATACTATATACGTATAATATATATATATGTGTGTGTGTATGTATGTATAATTATATATACATATGTCATGATATGTCTATGTATGGTGTGTGTGTGTGTGGCTGCGGATTCTTTATATTCCTATTAGCACTTCCATATCTGGATAATGTCTAAGAACTCCGCGTAAGTCCAAACCTGGATTGAGGCCGTGGAATTAATGGCGGAACTCAATTTTAAGTCTAATCATGCATGATGGCTGGATTTTGAGGTTGTCATACCCGATCCAGATTCATATATATATATATAGAACAGGTACTGCTGTTCAGGGGCTGAATTCCCAAATTGCCTAAAACGCCCGCTCACCAAGCACCAATCACCAATCACCAATCACCATCACCATCACCATCATCATCATCATCATCATTATCATCATCATCATCACTTCCTCAATTCCACAAGAAACTTCAGATACATCAATAACCAGCTGCCAACCTACCAGCTCCAGCGATTCGCCAAGGATCTAGATGGCCGTTGCCATTCTTGTCGAATTCTTTGAACCTCGCAGGCATTTTGCACACGTGGCCAGGGCGAAACGGAAGGCCGCGATTGGAATGTGTTGAAATGTATTGCAATCTTATGATCCAGTACCGGTTTGCATGATTATTTTTATATAATTGTATATAATATAATAATGTATATATCTATCTATCTATCTATCTATCTATCTCTCTCTCTCCATCGCCATCTATATAATCACATTGTCACATTACTGGGATATGTGTCCCAGCAATTGGATAAAAACATATATAAACCATTTCAAAAATCCACCGTACCCCAGGAATCAGAGACTTCCTACGACTATTATGACTCACTTGAAAGATCTTGAAAGTTTGTCTATGTTTGTCTGAAAATAGGGCACACCAACCCCAAAAGTTGAGAACTATAAGACTATCAGCAAAACAATTAACAATCCCATTATATAAATTATTAATTTTGAATCATTTTGAGGTCCTCCTTATCGGCCAGACCCATCGACCAACGTTGAACCGGCCAGGTCTGACTCTTCACCGGGCAACGACTCGCGGAAGCATTCCACTTTCCACCAGCCAAAGCCAGCCAGCTTGCGCTCGCGCATCATACAGTCATGCCTTGAAAGGTCCATCATCTCTCGTCACCCACTGGGGGGTTTTCTCCACAAATGGGGTTTCAAAATGGTAATTTGGTGGGGCAACTAGCCAATGTTCAAACAAATCCACTTTGATTTCGAGGAAAATCAGGCCAATGTCTTATTGCTTCGGAATCCATTTGCATCGTTTCTACGTCACTCTTGGCGTGTTTGTTTCTGCATTACCGGGTTATCAAGGTTCACGATGCCAATCAGTGTATTCAAAATACCTCAAAATACTTCACACATCTTCAGACACACTATAGTTGTTTGCTACATTGGTCACTAGATTGACCAGTGATTATTGACTTTACGTTAAAAGATCTTTCCGCCGTCTTGGCTCACACTCCCCACCTGCACTCATCCACCCAGTCGACAAAGTCCTCGAAGTCAAATTCATCGTCCTGTTTTTTGTTGAAAAACAGCCCTTTTTGGCTGGCTCCGATGTGGAATTTCCCTACCTTTTTTACATGATTTTACTATAATTAATTAGTTTCGTTGGTGTGAAAAATATTAGGGGGATGGGATTACTGCATTGTAATCTCCTGGAAAAAAGTCATTCAACTGTCTGCTGAATGAGTAGGAGTTTGCTTTTCCATCCTTTTGGAACGGAACATTTGCAGGCAACTTATGCGATATTTCACGGACATGAGGCCTTTTTGAGTGTTCCCTTCGAAACTAAGACCTGGAATGGTCAACCGCGCTTTGCAAGTCTGCTATGAAACCCAAGGATTGGTGCGAGAACTCTGGGTCACCCATATCCCAACTGGGAGCGAAACCCAGTTGGGTTTCTCTGGTGGCCACCAGCACTCCTCATCCGGCATGTGCTTGGAATCGATCAAATGCGAACCCACACGCTTGCACCTCAGAAAAAGCCATGCCAGGGGTGCGTCCAGGAAAGAAAAAGGCCCAGGCTAGGTTTGTACCGTAAGATCCAGGGAGAAGAAAATGGATCGAAGAGATGGAAACAGGTGTGCATAATCATGAGATATTTGCTATATAGTTAAATTAAATTAATTGTTTCTTTTACTAATCAGCTCATTGGAGTGATCATGGGAAGTCACAACCCTGATCATCGTGACGCTGACGAGAACACTCTGATCCCAGCGACGCTTTGGTGATGTTTTCAGCTTGCAAGTATCCTGCAGAGCAGCAATGACCATCATGGACCTTTTGGGACCTCATCAACGAAAGCCCTGCATTTCTTTCTCAGAAGTCCGAGCAGGTAAGTTTCAACCAATAGGTATCGCGGTATCTCCCTGTTGCTTGAGGAGGTTTTCAGACTCCAGGGCCTTGAGGTAACAAACACTTGAAACAACAGGCGAGACCGAGACATCATCCGTCTGCAAAGGCTCATTTTGCCTTCCAGTTCTTTTTTGAAAACTGGGACATTTCATTTATTCCAAAGAGTAAGCGTCTGAACATGTTTATTTTTCAGGTTTTTTTTTTGTTAACTATAGACTATAGTAAGATAAATGTACCTTTTCTTCATTTCTTCCAAAGAGCTTGAACAGTGGATAGGTGGATAGGTTGGAAAACGGTGACAACTGCCTCCAACGGCGAGGTCATCGAAGACGCGATAGATCTTCTTCAGCTCCTTCCACTCGAAAATCAGTCATGGTGCCATCATGGTGCCACGCTTGGAGAAAACATCGACAAATACATCGGCAAAACATGGCTAACTGTTGGCTCTATGCTAGATACATGTAGATACTTGCGAAATCCTGTGCCAGGCAGGGTAACTGTTGGTAACTATGAAACACTGTAAATATCTGTAAATCATGGGATTATAATGGGATAAGCCATCAACTGGTGCAGGATTTCGCAACCGTCCACAATATCTCTATACTGACGCAGAGATCCCGTCCCATATGTAAATCCACCAGCCAGATATGATTTCATACAACCTATACCCCCTTGTAATCAAACATGGTAAGGGGAAATCCCCGATAAATGGGCACTAATCATGGGAAAATCAGCTATAAATGGTGGATTTTCATGGATTTTCCATTACTGAAGAGTACGGCGCCTATGAAAAATAGATGGAATTGCAATTCATGGCCTGAAAACTCATGGTAAAAGGTAGGTGTGACACGTAGCCATGAATTTCATGGTGCTCCTACATTTTGGGGAGTTGCACCTAGACCCTGAGAGAATCTGCAAAATCATAATTCACATGTGTGTTGGTGTCGGGTGTCGGTGTTTGAAATCAGCCACTGGGAAAGTGAACATAAGCCCCATGTTCAGGAAAGCCATGCCAGGAACATCAGCACCCAATACTTCTTGGGGCTTCGGTCTTCGGTGGTATTCAATGAATTTGCTACTGCATATAGTTGGAGAATTCTTGTAAAACACTCAATTTGTAGATTATATGATTACATACTGTGCCCATTTCATCCCATTTTGGTTAGTTAAACCACCATTTTAGTTTTTGGGACGGGTTATGTATACTTCTATAGAAACCTCTTAAAACTGTGACATGAGGCGTTTAAAGGGTGTTTTTTTTTGTATTTCATGTTTGGGGGTGTTTGGGGGGATGTGACTCACTGACTCACCATCATTTTTCCTGGGGTATCATAACCCACCAGCTATGAATCAACAATGATATAGCCATAACTTACCCTATTTCGGAAACGTTTACTCATAGATTGATGCGGAAAAAAATCAACGGACCGGATCACCCCACAGTAAAAACTATCTTCCAATCAGAAACAGTGGTACCATCTGGTTATTTAACATTTCGCCATGGAAAATCCCCAAGTTATAAATGGAGCTTTAGTTCGCTGGGAAAATCATCTATAAAGTCCATTTCTATGGGCCATCTATACCATGGCTATGTTAAATAACCAAAGGGTAAATTACTTGGTTGATAGTTTTCCCCTGGTTAATTACCTCTGGTAAATAGATATCTCTGGTTAAATAACCATGGTTTTTCTATACCACTACTACGGTAAAAACAGTGAAACCCCACACAGAAACTTTGTGGAAAAAAACCACCGGAAAAAATCCCCAGTCCAGCGCCCGGAAGTCGCCCATCAGGATCATGAACTCGGAGAAACTGAGGAAACCACTCCTGGGAGATATCCAGGATGGATGGTGAATCTATAGGAAAAACATGGGAATTTCATGGGAATTTCATGGGGAAAATCATGGGAAATCCACGAACTAAGTAACTAAATGGAGGTTTAGTTCGCTGGGACTTAATGTGATTACCCTGCATCAAAGTGAAGAAAGTGAGGTTGTCCTCCCGTAATCAAACCTGGCACAATGGGAAATCCCATATAAATATTATTAAATATTATAGATGGAGGTTTTACAGTACGGGGAACAGCATTGAAGTAACTATGCAATTTTCCATAGCTATGCGAAATTTGAAAACGTATCAGGGTTCAGATAAGGGGGGAGGAGTTGTGCAGATGGTTTTGGTAGATACAAAGCGGAATGCATAGGGTGCACAACTACAAAATGCAGTGCATGTTACTTTTTTTGCAGCTACAAAATGAAGAACATAACTCTTTCTGGCTCGGAAAATAATTCAAAACCAGTACTACAAAATCCAATGCATCTGAAGTTAAAAAATAGCTGAACGTCGGAATTGCTAACATGAATTTTCCCAATGACATTTTGTAGTTGGGTCTTTGCCATCCAAAGTTCCGACCAACATAAATTCGGAGAACATTTTGTAGTTGTCAATGATTGAATTTAGTTGGATCAAGTGTTGACCCCGTGCAGTTTGTTAGATGGCATTCTGTAGCTTCATGATCTGTTTGTGTCCATGTACATGTCACGCACTGTTTCCTTGTACATGTCATGCTTCAACCATTCAACTTGTACAACTACAAAATGCTAATGAGATTTTATGTTGGATGCTTCAACTAACTCAACATATACAACTACAAAATGAAAATGATGATTTGAAAGGAACCAACTACAAAATGATTCCAAATACAAAATGGGGGGCACAACCCCTCCTGTTTGTACAAAAAAATCCTGGCTGGCAATCTGTACTGTAGCCCAAGTCCTCCCCATTTCGTAGCTGAAATTTGAAGGTGGATGAAAACGTTATATAAATTGAGTGCTCAATCGGTTGATTCAGTTGGTTGCTTAAGTGGATCAACCAAAAAGGGTTTGCTGATTAATGAAGAAACACATTATTGAAAAATCAAAGTATAAGACTATCAAATACCAATTTATCTTTGAGGAAACAAAGTGGAAATCAGAAAGGCAACAACTAAATAATTATATGATATATACCCTCTGGTTATTTAACATAGCTATGGAAAATGACAATGACCCATTTACAAACGATTTATGATGATTTACCCCATCAAAAATTGGTGATGTTCCAGTTCGCTACTTTAAAACCTGAAAAAACTGAAGACCAGTACGATGCACGTAAAATCGACCACCTTGATTGGACATGACTTAATTTCCACCCATCAATCCCATCACAAGTCCAAGGCTCTGATCGTGATCTACTTCAAGCACCATACCTGCAGGTCCCGTGAGAATTGTGAATCAGGGCATTTCCCTGAGTCAGAAATGGGGGAAAGTGGGTATAACAACCATGAAACGGGGTGTATATATATAATTATATATATACATTATTATACATTGGTATATCAAGGTATATCATGGTATATCAACAGTTTCAGGGGGACTTCAACCATGAAACCAAAACACGCTTTGATATCGACAGGGATCATCCTAATCTATGTACCATGTCCAACAGCACCGCAGGCTTCTTCGGGTAACCGTAAAATTTTAGATGTATCCGATATCCGATGTCCGATATCCCAATTCAGACATAATCAATATAGTTTTACCCTGTTTTATCAATCAGTGACATTGTTGACCCCATTTGTCCTTCCAATTGTCGAGAAAATGATCCAACTATTGTCCATATAAACCACCCACTAGTGAACAAAAGCATATATCACTGCATAGGCATTCACAAATCGGTGAACAACTGTCAGTCTTCGCCATGTCTTCCCGCATCATCCATATATGCATCACATTTTTTCACTTCGTTCCCAAGACCCTGAGTTTTACCATGTTTATCACCATTACTTTAATGATCCATTCTCATACCTATGGGTTTGTCATGGTTTGTCCAAAAACAGGGAACCGAAATCAGAAATCCAACTGCTTCGTCACTGAAAAGAAATTATCGCCGAGCCGTTCAAGGTACCACTCAGATCTTCCATGGTCGCGCGGTAACCTGCGCTCAGCCGTTCACGTGCAAGGTGACCGCACTTTTTTTTCAACTGGCGTGATTAAGGTTTACTCTGGGTCATCAAAAATGTTCCTGTTAGTTCTATGGTTAAGCTTACATTTGCTTTATTGAGCTTTATTCTAATTATGAACCACAGATAACACCATGTAACAAAACTCACAGCATCAATTGGGGAAGGGTCACCTTTGACGGGGGCTGGTTCGTGTGTGGCTGTCTTATCGACAATTGGATTCAATTCCATTCTTGCTATTCTATAGAGTTGATATACATCATGTCATCAAACCGCTGACATGCCCTACTTGGGTCAGCTTCCAACCAACCACCAAGTCTTACATAGTTTTTACCTGGTTTTTCCCTTAAATAGTACGTCTTCCAAATAGGGCAGGATTTCTTAAGAAAGTCGCGAGTCAAATCTTTTTGGCATGATCCTCATCTAGCAGTCGCATCATCTGGATATTTAACAGTTTGCCATTGAAAATGTTGGAAAATGGCCCATTTATATCCATTTATATATAGATGATAAAACTGATGATTTACCTATCAAAAATGGGCGATTTTCCAGTTCTCAAACCGTTAAATAACTGGATCTGTGATCATCTTTGATCCATACTTCACTCGTAACGGCGATGGCCCAACAGTTCCAACGGCGCCTAAGGATCGAAACATCGTGGCTAGTTCCAAGGCGCAAATCTCACCAGAATTATCCTCCTGAGGGCAGATCTAACGAAATGGTGATTTCATGGCCTACAAACTGGCCATAACTCATGGGAATGACATGGGATATTTAACAATATTTAACAATGATGGGATTAAGATCTAGCCTGGTTGATTTAGAAAAAATATGGTTGCCCCGTCGCCAAAAAAAGGGATGTCACCGGAATCCCCCCGTTTCAACGGTCGAGTTGACCGGTGGTCATTGATCCGGGGTTGACATGACAATGGTTCATCGAGAGCTCAGGACTCCCTCCAAACTATGTTCATCTTCCACATGAGAATTCTTCAAAATCCCTCTGTCATTCCATTGTACAATGCTTGGTGAAAATTTGATTCCCCTATTGAATCATTATGTAAATGTATAATCCTGAATATATTGAATATAACATCAACCAACATCAACCAAAATTGTTGTATCACAAAAAGGATGTACCAACATCAATAGATACATATTGAATATAATATTATATCTACCCAAAAACATCAACCAACAGGTTGTACCACAACTCACTGTTTCATCCCGAAAAAGGATGCCGAGGCTCGTCGCTGAGGCGATACAACTCCTGCATGTCCTCCAGTTCGTCGCTGGAAAATCCACAGTTACTCCTCGCCAGCGCTTGGCGCGGCTAACGCTGGCCATGTCATGCCATGTCTATAACGGGGTCATGATGTCTATAATTTGGACTAAACAAAACGGGTGCAGAATTGTTTTTGGTATTTTTTTTTTTACAGTTTTGGAATTTTTTTTGGGGTTCGTGCCTCTTCAATTTTTCCATGGTTTTCTTCAATTTTTCCATGGTTTTCTTCAATGTTTCCATAGTTTTCTTCAATTGTTCCATGGTTTTCTTCAATTTTCCATGGTTTTCTTCAATTTTCCATTGTTTTCTGCAAGTTTTCCATGGTGTTCTTCAATTTTTCCATTGGTTTCTTCAATTTTTCCCGGGTTTTCTTCAATTTTTCCATGGTTTTCCAATGGTTTTCTGCAAGTTTTCCATGGTTTTCTTCAATTTTTCCATAGTGTTTTTCAATTGTTCCATGGTTTTCTTCAATTTTCCATCGTTTTCTGCAAGGTTTCTTTGGTTTTCTTCAATCAATCAATCTATATATATATATATATATGTATGTATGTATGTATGTATGTATGTATGTACGTAGGTAGGTAGGTAGGTAGGTATGTATGCATGCATGCATGTATGTATGTATATGCAGGGTGTGGTTTAGGGTTTAGGGATACAACATGTAATTAGGTATAATTACATGATTATTTGTTGTTTATGTTGGGATCAAAGTTGTGTATAAAAACAACCACAAATATGTCATATATATATATATGTATACGTCTGTATATCTATAAGTAAATATGTATGTGTATTTATATATATATATATACTTATAGTTATATAATTATATAAATATATATACATTGATATGTATATACATATTAATATGTATGTATATATATATACATTTATATAAGTACATTAATATATATATATAAATATAAGTGTATATATAAATGCAAATATATACATATACATATACATATATATATATGTATACGTGTGTCTATATATATATATATGTCTAGATATATATATATATAATTTTTAACAAAATATTAATATAGTCGAATCAAACAAGTGTATTGAAAAGTGTGCAAGTTTGAATTTAAATAATTAAAAAAAGCGGGAGGGGGGGGATTGGGGGGAGGGCGCAGCGCCTCCCCCCCAAAGCAGATTGGAAACACCTATTTTACATGCAAGGTGCTGGGTTGAATGTGATACTCAAGGTGTATAGACTACACGACATGCACCCTGGAAACATGTGGAATACAGTACATATACTTATAGATACATACTTCTTTATATATATATATACATTTATATGATTTATATGTATATACATATGAATGTATATATATATATAGGTACATAAATATATATTTATATGTAAATATAAATATATAAAAATAAATATATAAATATAAATATAAATATATAAAATATCAATATGAATATGTAAATATAAATATATCAATATAATATATATTTAAGTGTATATATACATGCATAAATATAAATATATAAATATATTTACATATATATATAAATATATATGTAATATATATATGTAATATATATATATATATGTAATATATATATATGTAAATATATATATATGTAAATATATATATATATGTGTAAATATATATATATATATATTTGAATTTGAACATAAATAGTAATAATATGTATATATAAATATATATATAAGTAGAAAATATAAATAATATAAATATATCTAGATATAAATATACAAGTGTGTATATAAATGCATATATATATACATATATATATACATATAATATATACACATATATATATATTATGATTTTAATTTAAACATAATATATATATATATGAATATAGTCGATTCAAACTAGTGTATTGAAAAATGTGCAATTTTGACATACTAAAAATACCACCAAAAGCCATGGAAAGCAAGCCAAAAGCCAAAAGCAAACAAGCAAAAAGCAAAAAAGCAAAAAAGGCAAAAATAACAAAAAGCAAAAAAACAAAAAGCAAACAAGCAAAAAAGCAAAAAAGCAAAAACGCAAAAAATCAAAAAAAGCAAAAAGCAAAAAAGCACAAAAGCAAACAAGCAAAAAAGCAAACAAGCAAAAAAGCAAAAAAGCAAAAAAAGCAAAAAAAAGCAAAAACACAAAAAAGCAAAAAAGCAAAAAAAGCAAACAAGCAAAAAAAAACAAACAAAAAAGCACAAAAGCAAAAAAGCAAAAACGCAAAAAAAAAAGGAGAAAGCAAGATAAAACAAGAAACCCAAAAAAAAATCCAAAAACGTAAAAGAAAAAAAATCCAAAAAAAAATAGGCCTCCAAACAAAACTAAGGGAAAACATTGCTATAGGGCTAATTACTAGAGGTCATGATGTCGATGCAATCCAAGATCCTAAAAGTATAGTATCAAAATGTCCTGCTAAAGAAGCCATTTCCTCCGTCACAAATGACAAAAAACAGCCGATGTCTGCCCCTTGACGAAGCAATTTGGGCCCATCTCCTGAATCTCCAAACGAAATCAAAGAACTCCTTGGTGAAGGCTGTGCGATTGGCTTGGCTTGGCTGCATGAGGCACTCAGGAAAGTAGTCGGAGAAAATTGAAAAACATAATGTCATGAATTTGAATTAGCCATATTTATTGCAATTAGCCATACCAGTCTTTCATTGCAATATTGAGCTTACGTCAAGGAGCAACAGGGATCCCTGAAGCTGGTGGAGCAGCGGCCTCCTAGAGCACCCTGTCCATAAAACCCACAAGGCTAGAACTACCAGCATCCTATGAGTCCTATAACTCTTGGATTGCCATTTTGTTTGAAAGAATGCCACTCGAAAAAATGTTTTTGGCCAACAAGTTTACAGAAAGTCTTGGTGCTTAATTCCCCCGGTCCTGCTGCTTAAGATCCCTATGTTTGCTCCTTGAAAATCTCCGCCAGTGTGAATCCCGTATTGATAAACCCCCTGGCCCTTGGCTGCATTTTTTGGAGCAACCTCCCTGGTTCACCAGGCTTTATGGATCCGGGTTGGCACCATTGAGTTCCCGATTTCAATGGGTTTCATGCACCGGGTGGCGTCATAGTCCAAATCCTGAGTGGACCGCCGGCACTGACAGACACCGAAAAATCATCAACAACCTGCCGCACAAAGAAGAGAGCCCAGGTGCTCTAGGGACGGGCGAGCCAATGACGTCATTGTAGATGTCCAACATGGCTTTGGTGAGGGGCATGTAGCCGAGATCTGCGATGGGCGTGTTGGTTCTCAGCAACCATCATCATGACAGCTTTCTGGAACTTCCAATGGGCCCGAGCTCTGAGGACGAAAACACACTGACGTAAAATGAATTTCCTAAGATGTGCCTAAGAATCCTAAGATATCACAAAGATATCATCCTAAGGTATTCCATTCCTCGACAGAATTGTTCCTCAGTTTCATCATGTTTCATCATGACCACCATAGAAACCCCACCTCTCAGCACTTCGCGAAGCTCCTCGTCGGTGATGGTGCCTGCCGACACCGGTTTTACGTCCGTCATAGGCCACACCCCCTCTGCTTGGGGTTGCAGTTCAGATTGTTGGGTATAACCATGGCAATAACCATCAATAACCATCAATAACCCCTAAAAGTTGGGATGTAACCCATGTCAACTATGGTCATGTATATATCCACGTTCACGTACTGGAACTGCACCCCCAAGTGCCCAGCTCGGATCTATTCGGAGGGTATTACAACACCCCCACCAGAGTGACCTTA